TTAATTACTTTTATAATTCCTGCCTGAAAAAAAACTGAAAATGATTAATTTCTTTTAAGGCATGTCAACCATATCCGCTAATCAAACCTTTGTTTACAATAGACCAAATAAGTCAAAATGCATCAGCTACACAGGCTAGAACGGAGTATGTTTTATCTATGCTAGAACTTAATGTTTAGTGAGAGTATTAATAAACCAGCTGCAGCTGTTTTGTTGTAACTGTATGTGTTTTACAAATCCAGTTACTCTGGAACTTATCTTTAAAAATTTACAAAAAGGCTGCAGCTGTTTGTGCGAAACTACATTCAAATCGTTCCACCGAGCTGCAGCTGAAAAAGTAGTTCCAGTGGAACTCAAGTACTACTCGACAACAGCTGATCGAATACTCAACTGTTGAGCCGGTCTAGTTCTCGTCTGTCGCCTGTCAACAAATAAACACCAGTTTGGGGTTATGTCGTCAGCGGCGTTAAATATCTGTAAAATCGGCCGGTTTAACTTTATTATGAGAAACGAAGTGCTATTATGAATAAATATGTAGTTGTGGATGTGTTTGTGTACTTCACTGTGAATAAAAATAGGCCTACGTTCTTTGGCCCATAGCCCAAGCTATGGCCAACACATAGGCCTAGGAGTAGGCTATTGAGGTTTAAAATCGGGTAAGTTCTGGGGTTCATCTATTCGTAGTACGTTTTTACCCCCCTTAAAATTTGGTACCTTACCCATTAAATTGATAATAATACATTAATTCAATAGGTGAAGGTAATTGTAAATGATCTATTGCATGCACCCTACGTTTTTCGTTTTAAATCTTACAAGTATTTATACTCTTCACATATTGATCAATTATTTTCTACTTTTTAGTGCGTTTAAAAAAGTTTTGTTTTTAAAAAGTTTTTTATTTATATATTATTATTTATTTATTTATTCGTTAATTTTAACAATAAAACACTGAATGTCTCTTCATTCTAGTCATACATCTGTTTAAAGAGTTCATTAATGTTTCTTAAATAGGTTTATCCCTATTCACTCTAACTTCAGGGAGAATACGGAAAGCAATAAATAAATATATATTGCAATTTTGGAAAACTAGAAACAATATATGTATCATTCTTTTATTAGGTACCTATCATATTTTAAAATTCATATGGTTTTTTTTCTTAAGCTATCAAGAAAGCCCCTAAAAACTGTTCCCATTCACCCCGTGATACGGTATCCATGAAATATTATTATAAACCAAGAAACTTATGGCCCCCAGAGGGGTGAGAATCGTACAGCTTTGGTCAATAGTTGTTTTATATTTTTTGCCGACCATTTTACATTGTATTGTAGGTTAATAAATTGAAATGACTAATCATGAAAAAAGAAAGTGTATACTTCAACAGCCCTTCATTATTTATTTAGTAATTACTCACCAAATTACTGGAGGTCCTTGGTGTCTTGATATTGATGAATTTGAGAGCCGCAAAATATGGACAATTTGACACATAAACTGCGTCCGTTGACTGCCCTGAGGATTTTAAGCTTTTTTAGCTCTGAGTGAAATTGGCTTCTCAGATTATGCCATTTCTGCTGTACCTCTGCAACATTGGTATTAAGCTTTGCACTGATGTTTTGCACAACTTCATGTTTTTTTACTCTATTCCTGTAGTCTTTCAATGTGACATTCCAAAGAATTTCATTTTCTTCATATAGAGCAATTAACTTCTTTGTCTCTGATTCAGTCTATTTCTTACTGTCTTCGGTGACGGTAGATTGGGCAGTAGAACCTCCGACACTGATCGCACACCTGTTTACACGAGCAATTTTCAATGTCGGACAGAAAACTCACGCAATTTTCTTCCTCTTGTATACATAGCTTTAGAATGCAGATAGTTTACAATTTTGTTTAGAAGTACAAACCACATGTTGACAATACTGATAATTTGTTTACATTTAAAAGTCTATATATATATAAAATATATATTGTTATATATATAATATATAACAATATTATATATACAATATTGACAAGCTCCACATTTACATTAGGTGTGTTGAATTAGCATGGATGTAACAGGCATATATATATATATACATTTACAGGCATATATATATACATATATAAAATATACATGAACAGGCATATCCAAAATCCATGCTAATCCAACACACCTAATAAAAATGTGGTGCTTGTCAATATTGGTGGTTTCACAGAATGTATTCTCTGTGACTGTAATACATTTCCCTCCACAATTAATTATTTGTTAGTGACCTCCCTTTGCTTCTTTTTGCCTACATTATAGTGCATGTATTTACTCTTCATGCGTAATGGCAACCCCAAGTTGGTTAAAGTTGTCTTTGTGAAATGTACATGGAATGTTAGCAAATTTCTCGTATAGGGATAAAGCTTTCTTTTATCATTGGTCTTATAGTATGACCTAAACCCTGAATTTACTCATTCATTTTGCTGTCCCCAGAGGCCAAAAACCCCATTTTTTCAAATTAATATTCTTATGTGTGTGCGTTAGCACGATAACTTGAGTAAAAATCATCCGATTTAGATGGCATTTCGTAAAAACGTGTAAACCGACATTTATTCGTTCGAGTTCGCAAAGTTCCATGATCGGACTATAAAAACAGGTTTTTTATGGCTTAAAAATTTGATCCCAGAATTAACATCCAAAAAACATAACATGTGTTATCATTTCTTTTTTTATCCTATTTTTTCCTAGAGCTTAAAAAAATCAAATAATTTAGTATATTGATGCTCCGTTGTTTACTTAATGGTAATGTAGGAAAAAAACAAAGTTTAATTCAAAATCTCCTTGTTATTCTTATGGAGAATTAATTAACTGTTGTATTTTCCTGGTTTAGGGATACATTTTGTTCAAATTCAGCAAAATTATTTATATCATATATTAGGCTATTGACATCTATAATATTAAAACGAAACAGTGTTTTTTTATTTCACAATTCTGGATCAACCACTCGACGGATTTTCATGTTTTTTGTGTTGAAAGAAAGATAATTTTGAGAACTAGGGAATGTCGAAGCCATAATTTTAGTTTAGGGTCCCAGTATTTTAGAAATTAAGTTTTGATTTTTTAAAAGTCTAGCAGCCGACGCTAAGATTCTAAACTAGCTTTTGGCATAAAATAATTTGCTTAACATAACAGCTGTAAACATTCAGCTTTTGTGTCACAAACTCGGCATTTGGAACAAATTAAAAGACATACTAAGGGTTGACTTATTTATACTATGTGTAATGCTAATCATTGATACGTTCAATCCTTCGATAAGAGGATGACGGGTTAATTAAATATTCATAGTGAAATACTAGGATGTTCAAATTATTTTTTTAAGTAATCTTTGTAATCTTCGGTTTGTTTTAGTGCAATATAATTTGTATTAACGAACAGCTGGTTAATTATTATAAAAATGCCCTATAGAACTATGAGGTTATTTACTCTGATTTTGTCATTGATTATAGGAAATAAGTAAGATTAGTAGACCACCGAGATAAGTAACACCATCGATGTGTACAATTCGAGGCTCTGTACACGAGTTTAAAAAAATATATGCAAATTATTTCACTGCTCAACTTTTATGGAAAGGGTAGGAAAATCACAATTTTTACATGTTTTAATTCATCTTGGCATCTTTTTGTTTACAATCAATGTTTTTGAATGCTTGCACTTTGTTTGGATTAGGCCCGAAAATATTGATGTCATAAAGATAGAGATCAAGAATCCTCAGGAATACGATTTTAAATTACCACCTCAACCTCGGACGGGTTTTATCCAAAGATATAAAGATGAATGATATAGATTGAACACAATGTCATCATTGGCCTAGGATACTGCAATTAGACTAACCATCCTTTTATGAAATCTAAAAAGTAGTTTGGCGTGTGTTTAGTTGTGGTTACGTTTGGAGGCACTGAATGTTTTATAGTTTAAATAAATGAATATTGGGAATTACGATGTACATTGATTCAATGAGGGTGGTTTAGTTATCAAGGATATTAGAACTGATAACAGAATCGGAATAGATAATAAACATAAACAATTAATTACGTCACTAGCTTTACTAGCGTTGTTACTTTTTAAATTCCTGCAACATGTGACCAGTTCTTTTGTTCAAATTAATATTATTTTATTTTTGACTCAGCTGTTTACAAAACAAACTAATATGTTGTTATGTTTACTTTTATTTGTTTACACTTATTTATTTAGCAATTGATGCAGTGAAATTGACATAAAGGATGTTTGTGGACGATTCCTTTAATGATGTCAAGACACCAACGTTATAATTATGTGTACTGTGAATTTTATTGGATGTTTTCGTATTATTTGAGGGAGTTTCAATTCAGACCTACTGGAAATTGTGTATAGTATGAGTAATTGTATTGTGGCGATATTGATTTTGGAAGAGGCAGGTATGCGATGGAAGGTGATATCATTGACTAGGTCTATACACTTCTCAATTGATAATTACTCTTTCTACTGTAGGCTGCAATAAAATTTGTCTTTATTCGTGTAAGCTAGATGTTCTTAATTATAGGCCTACACAGTTTTAACTGACTACTCCCGTACGTAGGACGGGCTAACACCTCGTTTTAATAAAAACACATTTAATTACCTTCACTGTAACAGTAAACCTAAGTAATCATTAAAATAAATATCGAAATAAAAAATGAATCTGACAATTTTAATGTAATATTTTAGTGAAAATCCAACCAGGTTAGAGGAAATTAGCTTAGTCTGCAGGTTTGCTGTGGCAGAGCTATTTTTATTTTATAATGACCTTGGATTTCTGAGCTTTGCAACTTGCTAGTTAAAGTTAAGTAATTTTAAAATATGTTAACAATATTGAATTTAACTTGGCAAGGACAATGATGATTTGCGTACCAGTGTTAATTGTTGATAGCTGAAATAACCATCTGTAATAAATATTTTTTAGTTATAATTTTTGTAGTAACAAAATACAGTTTAGTGTAAAATGTCATATTTTTATTTCAGGTGACCAATACCACTTAGTTTTGGCCTACGAGCATCAGTTGTCCAAATCTGCCTTTGCCTTTGTTGTTGGAAATTTTGGTGGTGTGAAAGGAAGAGACTTTATTTGTGTTCAGTCATTAGATGGAGTTTTAACATTTTTAGAACAAGAAACATTTTCTGTTTCTCGAAACCTCCCATGTTTTTTGCTGCCTTCACCTTTTGTATACATCTCTTCTTCAGATTCATTCATCATTCCCAACGCTAACTGGATGCTAGAGTCTTACAGGTAAAATGTATTGATTTTTATCCATGTTTGCCTCCTGGATTGATAATGAGTAATAATATAATAATAGGTTAAATACCTTATTTACGTCATCAGTCAAAGTTGTCTTTTATAATGACTATAGTTTTGGGGCCAACAGCCCCATTGTCCAATTTTCTGTCTTGTTAATTACTGTTGATAGCATTGGTCTCCGTTGAAGTTCACATATATACATACACTGACACACAAAACATTTATATTTACACGTAACATTGGGAATTTATACTTTTAGCCGGCCTAAACAAAAGTGATTATATTGTTGTGCGGACCGGTACACTGACTGACTAACATTGATATTACCTATTACATTATAAAAGACGACTTGGATTGAGGACGTAAACAAGGTATTTAACCTATTAATATTATTATTATTGATTTTTAGTATTGATGAGGTTAATATAGACCAACAATTCTCAACCTGGGGTGCCTGAGCGCTCCTGGGAAAATAATAAATACGAATAAAAAATAAAGTAAGTATAATATAAAATTAATTTGGGATTTTAGCCATAGAAGACTTTAAATTCAATTACAAATCCTTATAAAAAATAGATTAAAAATGATTAAATACGGTAGGTACATAGAGGGATTACAATGCTGCAACTAAATATATATGAGCTTAATTTGAGTGCTGGACCATCTGTTCAAATTCATATATACAGGGTGTTTCACGGGAACCCTGACAAACTTCAGGAGATGGTTCCTGGGGCCAAAACTGGGAAAAATAAGCATATGTCCTAAACTCACTTGTTTTCTAGTTATACATAATGATAGGTTTTTTTTAGGTTTTCAGTGTATCTGTTGAACATTTTGACCTCTCGATTGAAAAATTGACATGATATTTTGTTTGTTAAAACTTGCATTGATAGATAGAATATTACATTTCAAAGAGATTGCATTACTATTTTGGACAAACATGTTGGTTATGACTGATAAAAATAAGTTTAAAATAAAATATTTATGAAAAAATCTAGATTAAAAATTATTATTTGTTTTTGACAGCTCTTCATGCAGTAACCATTCAAGCTTTTGGCTTGCAACTTTACCAAAAGTTGTAGAATTTAACGGAGAACAAGGAAATGTGAATTTATGTGTACCTTTTATTGGGATTATTTTTGACAAAATCTTAAGTATTGTAAAATGTCAAAAATTAATTAAATTAAGCAAAATAAAAAAAATTGTATACATTTAGCTTATTTTTAAACACATCCTAATAAAAGTTGGTATATGGGTTCTCCTAGTTGAGAAGTATTGCATAATGGCCTAAAATTTCCTTCTTTTTAATTTTTAATGATAGAAAACAAGCATACCCACTTTCCTATGTTAACCTTATGGGGAAAAAATAAAATACGTTAGCTCGCATATTTCTGAACACATCTTATTAAAACTTGGTAAATCCCTTCTTTTAGTTGAGTACTACATGATTGTGGCCTAAAATATCCGTTAGATCAACGCAAAAAGGTTACAGAATGAATGGCTATTAAAATAAAAACATATTTTTTTATCTCGTTTTTTTAGATCAATTATTGGTCTTAATAAGATTTTTTTACCACAGTCAATATTTCTGCACAAAGTAGTAATGGCATCTCTTTAAAATTTAATTTTCTATCTAATCACAAACAGTTTTTTTGAAATATTATATCAATTTTAGGTCAAAACGTCATTTAGGCAACTAATGTTTTTCCTAAAGGATTGGAGTAAGCAGGCTTCGTGCAACAGAAATATAAAACTAGAGATTTTAGGCCATAATCATACTCAACATCGTACCCATCGTACTCAACTAAAAGAAGGGATATACCAAGTTTTAATAAGATGTGTTCAGAAAAATATGCGAGCTATTGTATTTCCCCCCCCCCATAAGGTTAACATAGGAAAATGGGTATGCTTGTTTTCTATCATTAAAAATGAAAAAGAAGAAAATTTTAGGCCATTATGCAATATTTCTCAATTAGGTGAACCCATATACCAACTGTGATTAGGATGCGTTTTAAATAAGCTAAATATTCAATTTTGTTTATTTCGCTTAATTTAATTAATGTTTGACACTTTACAATATTTTAGATTTTGTCAAAAATAATCCCAATAAAAGGTATACATAAATTCACATTTCCTTGTTCTCCGTTAAATTCTACAACTACATGAAGACCTGTCAAAAACATAATATAATTTTTCATCTAGATTTTTTTCAAAAATATTTTATTTTTAAACTTATTTTTATCAGTCATAACAAACATGTTTGCCCAAAATAGTATTAATGAAATCTCTTTGAAAGGTAATATTTTATCTATCAATGCAAGTTTTATCAAAATATCTTGTCAATTTTTCAATCTAGAGGTCAAAATGTTCAACAGATACACTGAAAACCTAAAAACCCCTATTTTTACGTATAAATAGAAAACGAGTGAGTTTAGGACATATGCTTATAGGACATTTCTTTATAGTTTTGATCCAAGGAACCATTTCCCGAAGTTTGTCAGGGTTCCCGTGAAACACCCTGTATTACAGGGTGTCCCATAAGTAAACAGCCAAACTCCGGGAAATGGTTCTATGGGTCAAAATAAAGAGAAAATCAAAAATAACATTTTTTCCAAAATCGGATATCCGCCATTTTGTATTTTTTACATTAACATTTTTAATTTTTTCAACCGAACATTATAAAACTTAGTATGTAGGTTAAGGTAGAAAAGACCAATGTTAGTAAAAAAAATCATCTTGATTCAACTTAAAATTTCAAAATGGCGGAATTGCATGACAAATTCAACAATATACTGCTCAAAGCGATACAACCTAATAGCCTCAAAAAAGGCCGCCGAAAACTGTGGTTCACCGTCTGTGAGCGTGGAAAGTTTAGAGGTGAGGTTAGGTTAGGTTTAGTTAGGTTAATTTAAGTTATTTAGTTAACCTAATCCAACCTAACCAACCTAACCTAACCCAACTTTCTAACATGGGTCTCTTCTACCTTAACATACATACCAAGATTCATAAAGATCGGTCGAAAAAATGCAAAGATAAAAATGTTTATGTAAAAAATACAAAATAGCGGATATCTGGATAACGAAGCGATTTTGAAAAAAAATGCTATTCTTGATTTTCTCTTTATTTTGACCCAATGAATCACTACGTAAATTATGTCCCCACCTTTTTTTGAACCTCTACTAATAATTTAGTAAAGGTTTAGTAACTAAGTAGCCTAAAGGTTTAAACTAGTAAAGGTTTAGTAACTTCTACTAAATTTAGTAAAATAAAAACGCCATTTTGTTTTTTTCACTTATTAATTTTTTTCTAAATAGTGGTTAAAGATTTGAAATTAAAACTTTGCACAAACATTTATGACAACTAGACAAAACTACAAGTAATTAAGGTATGAAAAATTTCAAATTCATAAAACAAAATGGCGGCCATTTAAAGTTTTAAAAATCGATTGACACCTTATTTTTTAAGATTGGACGAATATTAATTGAAATATGGCAGCTTTAGTGATACGTGACCGCTGAAAGTTAGTTGCAGTGCATGCATCCAGTTGTACTTTATTTACTAATCTAATTTAATGTATCAGCAGCCCTCTTACGTAAACACATAAATTAAAATATAAATGACTAACAGCAATATATAAATATATAAATATTTGAATTTGAACGGAGGGTCTTTTTGGCCTCTGAAGACCTCAAAACAAAAAGTAAATGGGGTTTTTTGCTAATATACAGGGTGATTAATATAATTGTTCCAGCTTTTTATTCTAAAGTTATAAGAGATAAAACAAAATGTTAAATTGTAACTGCCTTTTTGGTCAAGTTCAAAAAATAATTTTGGTCACTATTTTTCCAATATGGCCGCCAACTTTGATTTTTCTTATGGAAGACCCTATATTTTATTATTGTTTTAGAAAGTAAATGCAATTTAAAAACGTTTTTATTCTTGGCATCTTTTCTCTAAAGCAACTCGTGGCAGGGAAATTTGATAATAGGAAACCCATGTATGTTTTGCCTTATTCTACCCCATTTTACAATTAAAAATCGTAATATTTCAGCTATTTCTTATTCAATCTTTTTGAACTTGGTATTGTTTGATAGGGAATTAAGAAAGTTAAATAAAAATGTTCTTTAGTTTTTTTTCATAAAATTGGCCTTTTTGAATAATACTACTGCCATGCAATAGCATAGCAACGCTGATGGCGCTGCCTACGGATTGACAGGCAAAGCTCTCTCAAACCGCTTAATGCTTTTTACCATGCGGTTGGCATTCTGGGTTATAGTAGTACGTTTTCTGTGCTTGGTATGTATGTTAAGGTAGAAGAGACCCATGTTAGAAAGTTGGGTTAGGTTAGGTTGGTTTGGTTAGATTAGGTTAACTAATAGGCCAGTCAAATCGTACATAAAAAGAGGCTAAAATCGCAAAGTGTGATGTATTGCTGCATTTTTAATATGTTGTTGGGACCAGTTAGGGTAACTCAAAACCAAGTTTGCAGCTTCGAGATCCCTGTGCTCCCTGCGTAATAAGTAAAATACAAAAAAAATGGTGTATTTTTTTAGTTTTTGGTCTATAACTTATTAACGGTGCATTTTTCTTAATACTACTCAAATTTAATAATTAAAGTACATAAAATTTCCAACAATTTAAGCATAGTTTCATTTTTGTGTGTCAAATAGTTTTTGAGCAATGATATTTCTAATATTACAAATCTGTTTAAGTAATTACCATAATTTACATTTTTCCTGGGTTCGACCCACAAAAATTGTGTAGTACCCATATTATGGCAGAATTCTTAAAAACTTCTTTTGTGGTAAATTGTATTGGCTTTCGTTTAATCACAAAGCTAAGTCTCTATCTCAAACACTTTTCTGAAAACTATACAAATAATAATTTATGAATATCACGATTTTTTTCATTTAACGTGTTTAATTGTTTTTACAACGTGTGTTTAAGTTTTAAGAGTTAGATAAATACATTTTTACTATGCTTTGGTTAGTAAAAACAAAATGTAATATAAATGTTTGTAAAAACAATGTACAATAAATATCCCCACCGCAGAAAATGATCAAATATATCGGTCTCGGCACTCCCGGCACTAAGCCTTACCATACCACCTATGGTAATAGCTACTTCCTATCAGTATAATTAAAAAAGAAGAATATATGTTAAATTAGTGTTTTATTTCTATTAGACATGTTTTCTTTATGTTAAGTTTTAGATAGTTTTTGACGCCATTCCATGTACTGGTTTATGTACAATATGAAATAAAGACGATTTGATTTTATTTCAACACAATCGTTGCGTAAACTACTACGGTATATAATTTTTTTTGCTATTTCAAATATTTATATGATGCATTTTTACTCAAATAGTACAGGTTCTACATCAATAAAAGACTCATGCTGATTGCTGATGTACTTTTTCCCGCAGCATCTTTACCGAGAGTCTGAAAGACGACCTCCTGTTGTTGTGTCAACCTTGTTCACTGGTTAAAAGGACAAGGATGTCACTTGCACAATTTTGATTAAAACAAATGGAAAAATTACTTTGTTAAGTTAAAATGGCATAAGATAAGCTGTGTTTTGATCTGCTATATACATAGGGTGAATATTATTGATTTTGTACTGTATTGAAATCGGTCCCTGGTCCAGATCTTACCATGACAGTAATAGCTCATTCCCTATATAGGAAATTTGCTAAAACGTTATAATTTTATTTATTTAGATGTTGAAAAAATATCATTATTTATACTTGCCCCTCATCCAAGAAGCAGCTTCCTTCCACTAATTTCAAACATACCACCAAGTGCAAAAATGGTTAGGAATTGAAAAGGATCACACAGAGTGGGGTTGTTCAAATAGCACAGCAGGATTGGTTCCAGTGACAACCTCATGCTCATGCAGTCCAGCTCCATCCAACCTTCTGAAACTAATATCATGTAGGTGCCAAAAGGGATGCACGGGTGCTTGCACATGTCGGAAGGCCGGGCTAAAGTGTTCACCATTATGTATTCCTTTCTCTGCTAAGAATTGCCAAAATGTAACATTACCATTTATTGAAGAGGATGAAGATGACCCTGACGATAATATGTCTTTACCCGATGAGTTTGAATCAGGTAACATTTCTACCTTGCCTTCAGTGTCCAAAAAGCCAAAATACTAATACAGTATTAAGAATGTTTTTGTCATAATTTATCTTCAAATATAACTTTTCACCTTAAATATGTTTTTCCTCATTTCGTTTTTATTACTTGATAGTTGGGGGACATTGTTTTAACTCATTAAATAAAACAAATCGTGATATTCATAAATTATTATTTGTATAGTTTTCAGAAAAGTGTCGAAGATACAGACTTGGCTTTGTGATAAAACGAAAGCCAATAAAATTTACCATAAAAGCAGTTTTTAAGAGTTCTGCCATAATATGGGTATTACACAATTTTTGTGGGTCCAACCCAGGAAAAATGTAAATTATGGTAATTACTTTAAATAATTTGTAATATTCAAAAAATCATTGCTCAAAAACTATTTGACACACAAAAATGAAACTATGCTTAAATTGTTGGAAATTTTATGTACTTTAATTATTAAATTTGAGTAGTATTAAGAAAAATGCACCGTTAATAAGTTATAGACCAAAAACTAAAAAAATACACCATTTTTTTTGTATTTTACTTATTACACAGGGAGCACAGGGATCTCGAAGCTGCAAACTTGGTTTTGAGTTACCCTAACTGGTCCCAACAACATATTAAAAATGCAGCAATACATCATGCTTTGCGATTTTATTGTCCAATTTGACTGGCCTATAAATCTATCTATATATTAATAGGCAAGCATGTTTCTTTAAAACCTTTTTTCTCAGCTCGTGTGAATCGTAGGGAAAATCTACGCATACCGTTGGAAAGCTATTTTCCTGTAGGTGTGCAGAATCCCTTTATAAATTTAAATAGGCTCAAAGATAAGCACAAAAAATGAGTTTAAAAATTTGAAAAAATTAACATGGATCTTATGCGTTGCTATGCTGGTTACGAAATAACAACGAAATATAAACAGAAAATCAAAACAAATGGAGGAAACTCCAATCACATGTTTTATTTACAGTGTGGGGTGAAAATAGATAAGTGAGTACATTACATATTTTTGGTCGAGTTTCGACCACTGGACGACCTCTCGTACTTATTTAATATGCAAGCTCATTTTTTGTGACAATTACTCCTCCGAAATTACTTAACCGATCGTCATGTTTTTGGTGTCATTGGAAAGAGCGTAACATGAAGTTGTGCAGGAAACTTTCTTTTTAGGTAAATAATTAGAGAGTGAGGCCTTGGGACCCTTTAAAGTTTCGTATTTCTCCATAAGATTAACATTGGAAACAAAAATTGTTATGAAACTGCAGCTGTTGTCAGAAATCAAAAGTAAGAAGAAGAGCATAATTGTAAACAGTCAATAAATTTGCTAAATTAACAGTTTGCTACAAACATTTGCTGACTTGGTTGAAATCCGTTTTAAAATAATGCCTGTAATACTTAGCAATTGCTTGAATTCGAGCAACAGGGACACTAGTAACTTAAATTAACCTAACTAAACCTAACCTAACCTCACCTCTAAACTTTCCACGCTCACAGACGGTGCATCCACAGTTTTCGGCGGCCTTTTTTGAGGTATCTTTGAGGCGGTCGTATCGCATTGAGCAGTATACTGTTGAATTCGTCATGCAATTCCGCACAATTTGAGTACCCACAACATGGGGTTTGATCGGGCAATAATTTTTTTCCGCTTTTCCGGGAAAACTGTGCTTTTCCGCAAAAAATGAATATCATTTTTGGAATCGGCACTAAAAAACAAACATTTTGGGGGAAAAAATTTTTTAGAACGTTCACTGGAAGTTGATTAGTTTACCTAGAAGGTAACTACTACCCCATTTCATGCAAGGTAAAATGTGTTAGGTTACTGGATTAAATGGGATATATTCATAAATAGGAATACTTCTTTTAAAAACCACAGACAAATTTACTATGACATTTTTTTATGAAAGCGTGGACTTTTTACTGTACTCATTGAATGATTACATTCCAGGTATGAAGTTTTAGCAGATACAAATCGCAAACTATTACCTTGGTGGAGTTTAAACATTGGGGAGCCGATTGTGGACATGCGGGTCATAACAGTACAAAGCTCCAAAGCCTCAATAATTGTTTTAGGAGAGAGAAATTTATTCTTTGTTAAAGAAGGTGGTAGCCTGGAGCTGGTGAAACGGCTGCAATTCACCCCTTGTTGCGTACATCCATACATCACAGGTGAATATTGGCTCAACTTCTGAAGGATTTTATTTCTCAAGGTTTTCCGTTTAAGGAGGGTGACATAATTTCTAATGTACAAAACCAAATACCAAAAATAAATCTTTTGCTGATTAGTTGATTAAAAGATATAAAATAAATTAGAATACAGTAAAGTCCTACAAATTCATCCCCCAATAAACTAACACTTCATCCGATCTGCCAGGGAACCCATAATTAATTTTTAGACAAGTTTTGTGCTACCCTACGCCGGTGTTTACACTTATTTATGACCCTAGTATCAAACTACAAAACTCTGTAGCTTTAACAGTTACACAAGCTTTGCCTAGAACTTCTTGCAGACATTAAGACCGAGACACTTGATTCTTGCATACCTGACAGCTGACATTGACAACCAACAATTACCATGAATTTAAAAAAAAAAGTAAGTTGTGTATCTTCTTCAAAAATGCAAATGTATGTATGGCATTGTAATGTAGTTACTTTTAATCTAAAGTTTAATTTTCAATTGTTTGTCCTTTTTCTGATAACTATTACTCTTCACTTGTCTGGTCTATACAATGCCGAGTTTGTGGGACTGTACTGTTCTAATATTATTGTGGTCCTCATATTTTTTATGATTACATTTTTAGCCAAACATATTAACCACAAAAGTGTGTAATAAGGTTGCTTTTGAATCATATAGTAATCTCCCACAAAGGATGGTTTTAAAAAACACATTTTATTTATACACTAGCTGGCCCGACAGACGTCGTCCTGTCCTAATGTGGTTTTATGTCAATGCTCGATCATTTTCAAGATGAGCTTGTTCGCATGGCTCAATCACGTCCTGGTTGAAGTTCATTTGCTATGCTTACTCACCTTCAGGTTGGAGCTCGTCAAACTTCACACAAACCATCCTTGAATAATCCTTAATAATGCCTGAAAGTTTCATTACAATCTGTCGAGCGGTTTCGGAGTCCATAAAGGACAAACAAACAAACAAACATACATTGGATTTTATATATATAGAAGATGAACAATACTTTCATTAATAATAAATAATAAATTGCAATATTTAATAAAAGTTTAATTTATGTAATTTTGTATGGTGAATTTTTAGAACCCGGCCTCAACGTTATGGTGCTAGTTGTGGCAGATACAGCGACTCTACTGGTTTACAACTCAGTTTCATTATGTTGGTCGTCCCAGCTGCCTTTTACTCCAGTTTCCATCAGTAGAATTAATCTGAAGGTTTCACATACATGCCTCTCAACAATCACTGAAGCACATTGCAGTTTGCTATAGTTTGTGCACAAATTTTGACAATTTGCAACAGTTACTCGTCTACAGTTATTCATCTATTTTATTTTTGCACTAATTTCAAATTATTTTTTAATGCAAAATTTTTCACCTTAGAAAGTCCATTGTAATAACTTGAAAATTATTTAGCAAAAAATCACATTTTTAATTTAGTAAAATTTAAAAATAAGTTGTATTGAGCCACATATGCAATGACAAGTACCAGTAGTTCACTGGCAGACAATCGCAGTTCCACTGTGGTTGATTAATCTGGCTTTGTATTTATAAATTGTTTTTATAAATAACAAATTAGATTATGATTTTGTTTTTGTTAATTTAAATGCATTCAAATGTTAATGATTTATATCTTAATCTGTAGGTGGGATATAGTTTAGCTAGCTTTCTTAAGAATATTGGAATCTAGGAACTTAAATTTAATATACAAAAAAGGTTAGGCCTATCTTATAACATAAAACTGATATATTTTGCCCTGGGAAAGGTTTTATTTGGAGAATAGATTGATGATAGTAATTGAAACGAGGAGTTTTCACCACTATACTAAGAATAAACATCTGTATTTTCATTTTGCTATGTGACCTTGGTTGTGTATCTAAAAACCTCTGGACTTTAATTTTCTCAACTAAGCTCTATCCATTATTAGCCATTATATGTCTTAAAACGCAATCCTGGGGCTATTATCTGAACTTTACCCCTTTTCAAAGAAAACGTCTCATGTTCCCAGTGTGCACAAGGCCTGGTAGCCCTGTTGGCTGAGGAGGGTCAGCTTGTTTGCTGCTACCTTGGCACAGAACCAGCCGTGTTTATAGCGCCTCCTCTCACCAACAAGACAGTCACATACGACGAGTTGCAGCACAGGCTCTACACCTTGCAACAGGAAATTGATTCTACATCACAGAGTAGGTTTTAATTGTTGTAGTAATTGAACCTAGTTTAACAGACTCTGATGGTATAAAGGTAATTTTTATTTTTGCTACTATTAATAATTTCCGACCTATTAGTGTCATTCAAGATTATGTTTAGATTTAGGCGTGGTAATTTATGTTTAATTTAACCTTACAATTTATAGAATATTTATTAATCTAATAAAATTTATATTATTTTATTGCTTTAATTTAACCACTTAAGTCAGTTTCTTCTAGTGTTAATCTATATTTTCTCAGCTAAACATTTTCCCATTCATCTGAAAATGAATCTTTCTTTTCCTGGACTCCAATTTTCTCTTTATAAAACCGCCTTGAAGGGATTAAGTACTATGATTCCGCCTGTTTTGTCTTACAAAATACTCAAAAGTTGTTTCTGACACTCCCCTATCTTCTTTAGGTTCTGGCATCTTTTACAATTTTGTTTTTGTTTAAAGCCTTTTTTTATGCTTGGATTAAATAGTCGACAAGATCATATAAATTAAAACGTGACAGGGTTTTTTATTTAACGATTCTGAATCAACCACTTGACGGATTTTCATGATTTTTGTGTTGAAAGAATGATAATTTTAAGAACTAGGGAATGTCGAAGCCATAATTTCAGTTTAGAGTTTCAGTTTATTAGACTTTAAGTTTTAATATTTTTTAAGTCTATCAGCCGTAACGTAACAGCAGCTGTAAACATTCAGCTTTTGTGACACAAATTCAGCATTTGGATAAAAATGAAATTGCATACATAGGGTTGACTTATTTCTACTATGAGTAATACTAAAATCATTTATATGTTCATTTATTTGGTAAGAGCATGGCGGATTATTTTAATATACATAGTAAAATACTACATAGATGTTTTAATTTATGTTTTAGAGTAGTCTTTAAAATATTGGGTTGGTTTTAGTTCAATATAATTTGTTTGAACTAAACAGCTGGATGGATAAAAAAATATTCTATAGAACTATGAGGTTATTTTATTTAGTCTATGATTTTGTCATTTATTATAGGAAATGAGTAAGATTAGTAGAGATGAATATACCACAGAGATAAGTAAGACCATTGCTGTAAACAAGTAGAGGTTCAAAGAAAAGCTTATGCAAATTATTTTAATGCTCGACTTTTTGAGGAAGGAGTAGGAAAATTGCAATGTTTACAAGTTTCAATTGATCTTGGCAGCTTTTTGTCTACAATAAATGTTTGGCTGCTTAAACTTTGTTTGGATTAGGCCTGAAAATATTGATGTTAAACAAGGAGATCAAGGATGATCAGGAATCACGATTTTAAATTATACTACCACAACCTCTGACGGGTTTTATCCAGATATAAACAGATGGATGACATAGATTAAACACAATGTTGGTAATTGGATTGTGGTGATAATTGTTAGGAATCAGAAATAACTCTAATGGTAATTGTATTTCATATTTTATTCAGAAAAGCTTACAAAATCAAACCTAATTAACCTGACTCTCCATTCTTAATTTCTTGCGTGTTGTTTACTCAAATCCAGTCTATTCAACAAAGCAAAGCCTACTAAATTAAGCATACATTTATATATATATAAATTATTACTATCCATTTATTTTAAATTCATAACATCTCCTCCCTGCTTATTTAAATTCAAATATTAAATAAAATTAAACAAAAAAAAATTCATTTGGACTAACTGTATGTTTCTTAGTAAGGAGATTTACCACATTTTGTCACAAGTCCAGTTTTTTTAGGTGCTCTCCTAATACATTTAGATCGCACAGGACTCATATCATTGCTTGGTGGAGTCTTTTCTGTACTAATGTCTTCCTGCATCTTTTTATGTTTAGAAGATCGAAGTGCAACACCTTTTATCAGAGATTTGATAGGAGATTGAAAATTTGTGATCTTGTCAACTGGCCTACTTAATCCTAAATTGTCCCTGGGTATCAGTAATCTGACTTCTTCCCCACAGTCTGATGTTTCCTTTTGTTTTAAATGGTCTGCACGAACAAATCTTGTTCTTCCTTCCACATTTACTAATGGCAGCCAATTAACTTGTTCTTGCTTAACACTGCGAACATAAACTGGTTCTCCTTCAACAAAAAATCTTGATTTACCCCTAGAGAAATCTGCATGAGATTTAATTAATCGCTGCTTCTTTTCTATTTCTCCTGATAGATGAGGTTTAAGCAAACTTAAAATGGTTCTAGGTTTGGTTTTCAAAAACATCTCTGATGGTGAAAGGCCAGTAGTCGAATGTAAATTCCTATAGGTAAATACGAAGCTGTCAATCCTATGCTGTAGTGTTCTATGAGGTTGGTTGGTTGCATCATATAACATCTGTTTCAGAAAATCTTCCTTTGCTGTTTGAACCATTCTTTCTGCTAAACCATTAGAGGCTGGATGATACGGTGGTGACAAAACATGGTGTGTTCCGTTGAAAGTTAAGAATTCATTGAATTCTTGACTTGTGAACTGTGGTCCACCATCTGTGACAATTGTATGAGGCAGACCATAAGCGGCAAAACAAGTTCTCAGTTTCTCTATAGTCTTTGATGATGTTGTGGTTCACATTAAAAGATTTCTACCCATTTTGAATGGCTATCCACTAGAATCAGACGAGATTGGATTTTTAGTTCGAGTCGAGACGAGACGAGATTCTTTATTTCTCATAAAATTTTGAGACGAGATCGAGACAGGATTTCCCTTCTCATACACAACAGGAAATGCACGTTCAAAGTTTTTACCTGATTTTGTAACATTGTTAGATGACTGTTTAAATACAAAAATAATGATAATAGGCAAGAATATTTACAATATTTTATTTAAAAACATCAGCATAACATTTTTTATTAATCACGCCAAACTTATTAAAAATGCCTACGATTAGGAAACATAGTGATATAATTTAGGATAGAGTTCAGCTTATCCTAAAATAAAATAAATCATAAAATAAAATCAATATTAATTTTTATTAAATAGTTACTTGTTTTGACTTTTTATAGTAATAAAACATTCCTCACACTGCTTACACTTAACAAAACTTCTCAAATGTTATTTAAAGTAATATTTTTAAAATAATTAAAGTAATATTTACATTCAAAGAATTAATTAAATAAGAACGCCTTCGCAAAGGAAACGCAGCTACAACACGCTCCTGTATTGCGGGTATTGCATTGACTTTCTGCAGGCGTTTTTAATTTTTTTTTCTCGTCTCGATAAAAATCTCGGCCAAAAAGAAATCTCGTCTCATGTAACGAGATTTAAAATTTCCCGAAATTTGGAGACTTGACCATCCCTACAAAAAATCATTTCCTTTAAAATTAGCAAAATCTAAATATAGACGTTGCCAGTTGTGACATGCCCAAGACTGACATATGTTGCATTCGGAAACAAAAGCTTGAATATCTTGATTTATTTTAGGCCACCACACGTAACTACGCGCTAGTGCTTTCATTCGTGCCGCTCCTCGGTGTTCTGAATGCAAGAGTAGTAAAATTTCTCTTCGATAAACAGGAGGTATGATAACACGAGATCCCCACAAAAGGCAATTTTCCTCTACCGTCAGTTCCCGATTCTTGTCAGTATATGGTTTTATGTTTTCATCCATAACATTAGGCCAACCATGTTGGGTAAAATCTAGTACTTTCGATAGTACAGGGTCAAACTTGGTAGCAATGCCTATCTCTTTGTAAGTTATTGGCAATTCACTTGTCATGGAAAAAAAATTAATTTCACCCTTTTTCTCTTCATTGGAAGATTGGCATGGAAGGCGTGAAAGAGCATCATCATTTAAGATTTTTTTAACACTTAGACTATTACTAATTTGAACAGTCTTACCATTTAATTTGTCCAGTCCTTGACCATTATGTACATCTTGAGCTATCTTACTCCAGTCTAGCTGTAGCACTTCCAACCAATTACGTCCCATGAGAACAGGTTGATTTGCAGTAGCTCCTTTGACAACTATTACAGGCAACTGCTTTTGCTGACTATCTTCTGTCCGAACGTTGGCCTGAAACTCTCCTAACACCTCAAAATTTTCACCAGTATATGTCTTTAAACACATGTTAGTTTTGTGTAAACTAGATACGAGGCATGTTTTTTAAATAAGTACCGTTTTTAAACTTCTCCGTTCCAGCGCTGCCATTGGCATTTTGGACATTTGCGCTGTATATGTGCATCTATTGGCAAGCCCTAGCCGGAAATTCGACAACAATCGGCCGTGTTTACATCCGGTATCGAGCATTCAAAATGGTGCCGCCAATTGAGACTGCCGCCGACAGTGAAGTGCGCGCTGTAATTAGATTTTTATGTTCTAAAGGTGTGAAAGCCATTGAAATTTGTCAACAGCTTAGTGAGGTGTATGGCGAGAACGCCATGAGACGGAATGGTACAAAAGTGGGTAAGGGCATCTAAAGACGGCCCCACCAACGTTCATGATGAGTAACGCACTGGGTACTGGGGGCAGTGACGCTGCCCAGTGCGTTGCTCATGATGGACGTTGGTGGGGCCGTCTTTAGATGCCCTTCTGTGTTCGCTGGCCCTTACCCACTTGCGTACCATTCCGTCACTCATAAATGTTCTCGCCATACACCTCACTAATCTGTCGATAAATTTCAATGGCTTTCACACCTTTAGCACTTAAAACTCTAATTACAGCGCGCACTTCACAGTCGGCGGCAGTCTCAATTGGCGGCACCATTTTAAGTGCTCGATACCGGATGTAAACACAGCCGATTTTTGTCGAATTTCCGTCTAGGGCTTGCCAATAGATGCACATATACAGCGAAAGTGTCAAAAATGCCAATCGCAGAACTGCAACGGAGAAATTTAAAAACGGTACTTACTTAAAAAACATGCCTCGTACTTTTCCTTTAAATTTACTGAAATAAATATTATCTGGTAATACAGTGACCACAGCACCAGTATCTATGACCATTTCTAAGGGTATATTATTTACCAACACCTTGGCTGTGAAGCTCTTTGACTCTCTTAGGCCTAATTATATTGTCAGAATAGGCTATGGTAAATATTTCAAATTTATCCTGCCCTTAACCAGAAGTCGATCCTTTTTCTTCAGCAGGAAGTTCATCCTCATCACTGTTAGACCTATCATCACAATAGTTTATTCTAGACTTGACTTTGTTCCTATTCTTGTTTTGTCGACACATTATGGCTAAATGACCACGGATCCTACACAAATTACAATTGTAATCTTTATAGGGACAATTCTTACCTTCATGATCTTTCCCACAACGATAATACTGCTTTCCGCTTACACTGTCATAATTGTTAAACCTAGGCTTGTGATACTTTGGAGAAACTGGTCTATTATTTTGCTGCCCTGCCCAATTTATGTCGGAACTATACTTATTCCTATACCCATCTGGGTGTAAAGCCCTCACACTACTTTCAGCATTTTCAATCAATAAAGCCATTTCTAATGCCTTGTCAAACTTGAGAGTTCCCCCCCCTCTGACAATAGTTTACTCGGTATTGTACTTGAGCTCAACCCACAAAGAAATTTGTGTCTTAATGCTTCATCTAAAAATGAATCAAATTCACATGTTGAGGCTAACTTTTTTAACTGAACGGCATAATTGGAAATACTTTCCCCTTCTTGTTGATTTCTTTTATAGAACAGAAACCTTTCATAAGTTATATTTCGTTTAGGAACAAAATGGTTGCTCAACACTTCACTCATTCTCTCTAAGCTTACCTCTACAGGACTTTGAGGTACCAACAAGTTTTTAGCAATGGAATAAAGTTTTGGCCCCATTATTGAAATAAAGAAAGGAACTTTATTTTCTTCCTTGACTTTATTTATCTTCAAAAACTGCACTAACCTTTCATGATAATTCTCAAATGATTCCACTTGTGGATCAAACTCATCTAACTTACCAATATAGTTTTTCGACATTGTTCTGCTTGGCTTACTGTTGTTTAGTTTATTTTTTTAAATACTGCGCAAAAATCACTACTTTCTTTAACACGCACAATTTACATATACTATCCCGTCCTTGTCGCCATGTTAGGAATCAGAAATAACTCTAATGGTAATTGTATTTCATATTTTATTCAGAAAAGCTTACAAAATCAAACCTAATTGTAATTAACCTGACTCTCCATTCTTAATTTCTTGCTTGTTGTTTACTCAAATCCAGTCTATTCAACAATTGCTTATTACAGTATTAGTTTCAGTCCAGGCTTTGGATTACTAGCAAAGCCTACTAAATTAAGCATACATTTATATATATATATATATAAATTATTACTATCCATTTATTTTAAATTCATAACAATAATAATTATAGAAGAGGAAGGTGATAGAAGGGTGTGGAAGGACAGAAACCTCTTAAGGTTTCAGTGGCCACTTTGGTAAGTTACGGTAAATTATAGTATGTAACAGAAGGTGGTATCACTTCTAAATTGACTACTCTCTCTAACAACTGTACTTATAATCAGTGTGCGAATCGGCTGCAAATCTCCTATTAGGGCTTTTCACATCGACAAAATGTCTGTTTTATTTTAAAATTATCTGATTTAAAATGCATATTGTATAGGCCTATAATCGGATGAAAAATATTTGTTCACGCAACATTTGTTTACAAGATGATTTTCCACATTTAAACTGCCAGAAAATTTGTCTTTATACGTGTAAACTAGCTGATCTGAATTATACACAGTTTTAACTGACTACTCTATTCCCGTACGTATGTTCTGACACAACAGCTAGTTTAGTTTATTACATAAAACATCTTCACAAGTGTAGTGAAGCCCGTGACAAAAAGCTATATAGGCCTAACCATAAAGAATTATGATAATTCAATAAACAAACTAAAATTATGTATTTTAAACCAGTTAATGTTTCTGTGGAATAGCGGCACTACAGGTCAGTGAGGGACATGAACTGAAGGTGACCACTCGCACGTTGGGCATGTCTGACCCAACTGAGTGTCAGCTCGTGGTGGTGCTCAATCCGTCTGCAGCGCTCAGCAACGCTCAAGTCTCTATCACAGTTACTTCACCACTCATTGCACAACCTGCCACTCACCACCTTCCCAGCATCTGTGAGTACCTCTATCATGATCTTATGTCGTTTGATATAAGTTGTATTATAGCAAAAATATACTTTTGTGCTCAATTTGTAACCTTTCTCCGCCTACCAGTTTGGTAGTTATTACCAAAAGAATTAATTTTAGGTTGTATTAATAAACTTATATAAATCAGTTACAAAGGGTTGAGCTAATATGATATGTAACATGGCTTTAGTTACAGTTGTTTGTAAAAAGAACTAAAAATAAGTACTAAAAATAACTGCAATTTTCATAAACTAGATTATGACTTTGATGATCTGATCTTTGATAATCATTTAATATAATGCTACTCTGAGAAATGATTAGCCTCCATCAGTATTTTACAATATACTCAGATGATGAGTTGCCAAAGTATGATTAGTGTATTACAAGTATTTCATATGTAATATTATCTGCCAATAATCTGCTCTGTCTTTTTAATCTCTTTCAGGCTCAGAAGTAGAAATTGTGAGCCTAGTTTCATTCTCATCCTCACATCCTGTTCCTCTTCTATCTGTTGATGCACACATCGTTATTGTCTATCAGGTAGTCTTTTGTTTAAAATATTAATCTTACTATATATATTCAATTTGGTTGAAGGATTATGTTTTACAATAAGTACCTGGGGACCGAGCTTTGCTCGGGGAAAATCATTAGTTTACTCTGAAAGCAGTTTAGTATTGCAGATACATTAATCCACTCCCAAACTCCACACTGATCACCTTTACTACTTCCTTCACCACTCCCTACATTGTGGACCTGTTTGGCCTCCTTCCCTATACCATTTTAGAATTGCAGATACATAAATGCCACAGACAGTTCCCACACTCTGCACTGTTAGCCTTACTACTTCCTTCACCATTTCCTACGTTATGGACCTGATTCAAAGCATTTTAGGATTTAGACACCCTAATCTAATCCCCATTAACAGTTCCCACACTCCAGACTGCTCACCTTTACTACCTACTTCCTCCACCACTTCCTACGTCGCAGACCTGTTTCCCTTCCTTCCAACGGCATTGTAGGATTGTAGATACCTTAATGTAATCATCATAAACAGTTCCCACACTCCGGACTGCTCACCTTTACTACTTTCCTCACCACTTCCTACGTCGCGGACCTGTTTCCCTTCCTTAACATAGCATTTTAAGATTGTAGATACCTTAATCTAATCGACATTAACAGTTCCCACACTCCGGACTGCTCACTTTTACTACTTCCTTCACCACTTTCTACGTCGTGGACCTGTTTACCTCCCTTCCCATAGCATTTAAGGATTGTAAATACCTTAATGTAATCGTCATTAATAGTTCCCACACTCCGCCCAGCTTGCCTTGACTATTTCCTTCACCACTTCCTACGGCGTGGACCTGTTTTCCTCCCTTCCCATAGCATTTTAGGATTGCAGATACATTAATCTAATCGTCATAAACAGTTCCCACACTCCGGACAGCACGCCTTGACTACTTCCCTCACCACTTTCTACGTCGCCGACCTGTTTCCCTCCCTTCCCATGGCATTTTAGGTTTGCAGATACCTTAATTTAATTGTCATAAACAGTTTCCACACTCCGGAATGCTTGCCTTTACTACTTCCTTCACCACTCCCTACGTCACGGACCCGTTTCCCTCCCTTCCCATAGCATCATAGGATTGCAGATATCTTAATCTAATCGTCATATACAGTTCTCACACTCCGGACTGCTTGCCCTTACTACTTCCTTCACCACTTCCTACGTCGCCGACCTGTTTCCCTCCCTTCCCATAGCATTTTAGGATGCTAGCCTTTACTACAATCATAGATAAAAAAAAGTCCTGCAGCAATGTATCGAGTAATCTTCAGTATAATCTTTGCTCAATAGTAACAATTGATGTTTTAGCGAATTTCCCATATAGGGAATATTAGCGAATTTCCCATATAGGGAATAAGCTATTACCGTAGTACTCACGATAAGACCTGGACCTGGGACCGATTTTTTTTTCGTTTTGAGGTCCCTAGAGGCCAAAAACACCATCCGTTCAAATTCATATATATATATATATATATATACAGTAAATATATATATATATATCCGTTAGCGTGATAACTCGAGCAAAAATGATCCGATTTTGATGAAATTTGGTACAAACGTGTAAACCTACGTTTATTTGAACGAGTTCGCGAACCAGCATGATCGGACCATGGGAACTTTATGGGGGCTTTTATGGGGTAAAAATAGGTTTTTCCCATTTTTGACCCAAAAAACATAAAATTTTGCAATTTCTTTCTAAACTATTTTGTAGAGCTTAAAAAACAAATTATTTAGTATATAGAAGCGTTATAATGCGCCAAATGGTTACGGAGAAAATTCCAAAAAATTGTAAATTTAAAATTCCCATGTTATTCTTATGGAGAATAAGTAAACTGTTGTAGTTTGCTTGTTTATAAACATATTTTGCCCAAATTTGGAAAATGTTTTTATATCTTACTAACTATTAACATTTTACATAAAAAACACTTTTACCCTCCCTGTTGCAGCAAACCTAAGTATGTGTAAAACTGATTCTATTTAAATAGGGAATAAATGTGATATTTTTAAGGAGACATTTTAGTGTAAATCCATTCAGGGAAATGGAAATTCGCTTAGTCTGCAGGTTTGCAGCGGCGGGGGTATTTCCTTTTGTACTGTATTTTGTAATTGCTAGTATACTGTGAATAGACTACTTACAAGTCTTTTGTTTACTTTTTCCTTGTTATTCAATTCAACCAACATGGTTACTTAGCAACCCATAAGACTAATGTTAAAATAATGTGACTTTCAGTTTAATTTTTCTACGTAATTAGATTTTTGTTGGCAGTTGTAACTGTAGTAAACTTGTTTTTAGGCCAAAAATAATCTATTTACAACATTTGAAGTAGGGATGGTCAAGTCTCGAAATTTCGGGAAATTTTCGGGAAATTTTAAATCTCGTTACACGAGACGAGATTTCTTTTTGGCCGAGATTTTTATCAAGACAAGAATAAAAAAAAAAAAAAAAAAATTAAAAACGCCTGCAGAAAGTCAATGCAATACCCGCAATACAGGAGCGTGTTGTAGTTGCGTTTCCTTTGCGAAGGCGTTCTTATTTAATTAATTCTTCAAAAATGTAAATATTACTTTAATTATTTTAATAACATTTGAGAAGTTTTGTTAAGTGTTAGCAGTGTGAGGAATGTTTTATTACTATAAAAATGTCAAAACAAGTAACTATTTTATAAAAATTAATATTTTATTTTATGATTTATTTTATTTTAGGATAAGTTGAACTCAATCCTAACTGATATCACTATGTTTCCTAATCGTAGGCATTTTTAATAATTTAGGTGTGATTAATAAAAAAATGTTATGCTGATGTTTTTTAATAAAAGATAGTAAATATCCTTGCCTATTATCATTATTTTTGTATTTAAACAGTCATCTAACAATGTTACAAAATCAGGTAAAAATTCCGAACGTGCATTTCCCGTTGTGTATGAGAAGGGAAATCCCGTCTCGATCTCGTCTCGAAATTTTATGAGAAATAAAAAATCTCGTCTCGTCTCGTCTCGAACTAAAAATCCAATCTCGTCCATCCCTAATTTGAAGAAAATCGTCGGAGCCGTTTTCGAGATCTTGGTACAAGCAAGCATACATACATACATACATACATACATACAAGCAAACATTGCTCGTATTAGAGTATAGGATTTTATGACATCACCTTGAGTTATTTTCAGTAAACCCAAGCATATTTAATTTTGAGCTGAGCGAAAATATGTCCAGGTGGTTGTTTTTTCTTACAATTTACTTTTAGCTTGAACTGTTATGTGCTTACTCAAGATGTTGGTTTGAATTGAAACTATCTCCTTTCATATAAAACATTTGTTAACAAGAAAATAGTTGGTGCAACTAAATTGGAGACTAGATTTAAAAAAAAAAAAAAAAAAAAAAAACAATGGGGCTGAATAATGGGTTTCTGGAAAGAGATTCAAGTTCATCTAGCATAACCGAGATCAATAGAGTCCAGGGGCTTATAGATTGATATTCTTTGTTTATCTCTACAAGCTCCTGGGAACTAATTTTCAAAGGTAAGCTTGCTAAGGTATCTCTGTCCAAGATACTCTTAAATAGTCTCCCACTAATTATACTGATACAAGTGATTGGTTGAAAATCCTTGTTAGAATATTAACATTTTTTTTTACTCTTAAGTCATTTAACATGTCTACCTGGCCTAAAACGTTAGTTCACATTAAGTCAAATTGCCTGTGACATTATTATGTTTGATTTAGGCTGTGGTTACTGTGTGTCCTTTTTTAATTTATTGATTATTTACTATGTTTATTGAATTATAGTATTGTCGAAAATGAAAATAAAGAATTAATTATTGTTATTATACAGGGTGCCGGGGGTAAGCCTCACATACTGCAGAAGACAGCAGTGTTGCCAACTATTATGGTAATGCAGGCTGTCTCACCTGGGAAGGAAGGAGACCACAAGATCATTCTGTCCCTCTCACAACCAGCAGTGCCTCTCAATTTGCTGTTTGTCGGTGAGTTGTGGTTATGTTCTGCTTCTATCATACCCTTGCGGAGCCCCACTTACGGATTGATTTCTACTGGAAGAATAATAACCTACAGAAAACTGTGAGTTGGACTCAACCAATCTTAACCCTGAGTATAAACAAATTTTACAGATCCTGAAAAATCCTCACTGGTCAAACCAACTCCATCAAAGAAGACATTCATTCCATCCTGACCTCTTGAATTCTCTGGTTTATAAATCCCACACCTGTAATCATAAATTATCCTTCATGAAAGAATGCGACAACATGAGGATAATACTCTCATTACTTACTAGATAATACTTACTTAGTTACTTGGCAATGAGTTGTGAATTTTTTAGCTGTGAAAAAAACTGAACATGCGACAGGATTGTCTCACACCTTGGCGCCCCACTGAGTTGTTACAGTGGTGTTGGGGAGATCAACCCCACAAGATAATATCAGTTGTCTGTTTGTTACAAAACTCTGTTATGTGTCTAGAGCTGGCTGCCATTGAGGGATGAGAGGATGCAGGTTGTACAGACAGTGTGGCAGGTTTGTCTCACACCTTGGCGCCCCACTGAGTTGTTACAGTGGTGTTGGGGAGATCAACCCCACAAGATAATATCAGTTGTCTGTTTGTTACAAAACTCTGTTATGTGTCTAGAGCTGGCTGCCAGTGAGGGATGGGAGAATGCAGGTTGTACAGACAGTGTGGCAGGTTTGTCTCACACCTTGGCGCCCCACTGAGTTGTTACAGTGGTGTTGGGGAGATCAACCCCACAAGATAATATCAGTTGTCTGTTTGTTACAAAACTCTGTTATGTGTCTAGAGCTGGCTGCCAGTGAGGGATGGGAGGATGCAGGTTGTACAGACAGTGTGGCAGGTTTGTCTCACACCTTGGCGCCCCACTGAGTTGTTACAGTGGTGTTGGGGAGATCAACCCCACAAGATAATATCAGTTGTCTGTTTGTTACAAAACTCTGTTATGTGTCTAGAGCTGGCTGCCAGTGAGGGATGGGAGAATGCAGGTTGTACAGACAGTGTGGCAGGTTTGTCTCACACCTTGGCGCCCCACTGAGTTGTTACAGTGGTGTTGGGGAGATCAACCCCACAAGATAATATCAGTTGTCTGTTTGTTACAAAACTCTGTTATGTGTCTAGAGCTGGCTGCCAGTGAGGGATGAGAGGATGCAGGTTGTACAGACAGTGTGGCAGGTTTGTCTCACACCTTGGCGCCCCACTGAGTTGTTACAGTGGTGTTGGGGAGATCAACCCCACAAGATAATATTGGTTGTCTGTTTGTTACAAAACTCTGTTATGTGTCTAGAGCTGGCTGCCAGTGAGGGATGAGAGGATGCAGGTTGTACAGACAGTGTGGCAGGTTTGTCTCACACCTTGGCGCCCCACTGAGTTGTTACAGTGGTGTTGGGGAGATCAACCCCACAAGATAATATTGGTTGTCTGTTTGTTACAAAACTATATTATGTGTCTAGAGCTGGCTGCCAGTGAGGGATGAGAGGATGCAGGTTGTACAGACAGTGTGGCAGGTTTGTCTCACACCTCGGCGCCCCACTGTGTTGTTACAGGGGTCTTGGGTGTTATATATGTATACTTAGGTCTTTACTTAATGTCAATTTACTTTGTCATGTTGGTTACATGCGAGGATAACGAGAAGGTTGTATTTCCTCCTTCTTCATATAATGGTTGTCACAAGATGTAGACGTCAAATTGTTCTATCTTCATTATGTTTTAATAAACTTGTATAGTTTGGCCAATGTGAAGTTGTTATTCTATCCAACAATTATGGCGACGAATGCGGAAATGAATTCAAAGTACATGGCCATGTTTTAGATGTTAATTAGGCCGATGCATGAAGATAATAAAAGGTGACGCCGATGGCAGGTATGTTGCAAGCATGTCGTTTTTAGGACACATCAAAGAATTTGAAGAATCTGATGACATTGAACTGTACCTAGAGCGGGTAGATCAATATTTTAAAGCTAATTCTGTTAAGGACGCCACTAAAGCTCCTATTCTTTTAACGCTCATAGGGCCTAAGCCTTATGGGGTTCTTAAAAAATCTAGTAGCCCCTAAATCTGTGGATTCTCTCGGATTAGAGGACATTGTCAAACGTCTTAAGGCCCACTATGCTCCTAAAAAGCTTCTTATATCAGAACGCTACAAGTTCTACAAGAGGGATCAGCTCTCGGGTGAATCTGTTTCAAACTATGTCATTGAACTTAAGAGACTTGCTTCTCAGTGTAACTTTAACACATTTCTGGAGGAGGCGCTGCGGGACCGGCTGGTTTGCGGCCTCACCAACGAGGCGATACAGCGTAAGCTGCTTACGGAAAGTGATCTTACTTTTACAAGGGCAGTAGAAGTTGCGGTCTCTATGGAACTAGCTTCCAGGGAGTTAAAGGGGTTTCACGAGTCCAGTTCGGGTAATGTTCAAAAGCTGTTCCAACGCAAAAGTGGTGCGGATAAAAAGTGCATGTGTTGTGGGGAACAAAATCATGTTTGGTTTAATTGTAAATACAAGTCATATAATTGTAACATATGTAAAAAGAAAGGTCATCTAGCTAAAGTGTGTCGCAAAAAGAATGTACAGGGTACAACCTATTCAAGTAGTGGGGAAAGTAGTAGTAGACCTAAGAATAAATTTAAAGGTACAGCTAATGCTAAAAATGAAGGTAGGCCTGTTCCATTTTCTTTGAAAGAAGTAGTAGAAAAAGAGTTGAACAAACTTAAAACCAATGGAATTATCGAGCCTATTAGTCACAGTGAATGGGCTTCTAGTATAGTTGTTGTGCCTAAGCCTAACTCTGACCAAGTCAGAATTTGTGGTGATTTTAAGAATGTAAATCAATGTTTGAAAACTGAGCACTATCCGTTACCTTGTATTGAGCATTTGTTTCAGCCTTTATCTAATGGTAAGGTGTTTACTGTACTAGACATATCTAATGCTTTTCAGCAGTTAAAGGTTTCTGAGGAATCCAGACCCTATTTGACTATAAATACCCATTTGGGTTTGTTTAGGTACACTAGGCTACCTTTTGGTATTTCATCGGCTCCGTCCATCTATCAGTCGATAATGGATCGGGTGCTTCAGGGTATTCCCAGTGTAGGCTGTTACATTGATGATGTAATCATATCAGGCTATGATTTACAAAGTTGTAAACTTAGAGTTGAGGTCAGAGTTAATAATTGTTGGATAGAATAAGAACTTCACATTGGCCAAACTATACAAGTTTATTAAAACATAATGAAGATAGAACAATTTGACGTCTACATCTTGTGACAACCATTATATGAAGAAGGAGGAAATACAACCTTCTCGTTATCCTCGCATGTAACCAACATGACAAAGTAAATTGACATTAAGTAAAGACCTAAGTATACATATATAACATTCTCCCCTCCTTATGTCAAGGCTTGTAACAAAATAAAAATTTTACTTCCACATGAATTTAACAAAATAACTGAATTTTACAACATAACTGAATTTAACAATATAACTGTTGAGTTAGGCCTTTTTAAATAATAATTATAATTTTTTTTTTTTACAGACAGAAGAAACTAAAACTAACAACAACTTTCAAGTTACATAATGATGAAGACAATAAAATTTAAAATCACAACTTTCAAGTTACATCTGGTAAAGACAATAACAACTTACAACTTAAATCAAAATTAACCAATTTTCATGTTCTCCTGTATACACTGTACTGTATACAAACTTGATGAAATTAAATAATATTTAAACATCTTACACTAACAAAAATAATTCTTCAGTAAAAAACAATATAATATAATACAACAATATAGCAATTCTTCAGTACAAAACAATAGGCCTATTTACAATTCATAGGTTTAATCGGTCAGGAGCCTTCTTGTTTCTAACAGCCCTACCTTGGCTCAACGACATCTGAACAGGTTCCTCCGATCTAGCGAGCTTACTAGCCTGATCATTACCAAGTGTCTGCTCTACAGGTTCATCATGTCTTGCATACTTATCAGGAGACAATTTTGGTTTAGGACTACGAGTTGCGACATTTCTTTTAGGACTGTCAACATTCTGACTTCTATCAGGTACATCATTAGGGCTCACGAACATGGGAGCAGTTACTTTTGTTAACAACCTAGACTCTGGTTTACAAAAATATGGCTTGAGGTGATCTGCATGAACAAACCTAGTTTGGTCCTTAACCTGAGCTGTATAAGTTACATTACTTAATTTTCTTACAATCACACCTGGAAACCACTTAATTTCCTCTCCCCTGACACTACGAACAAGTACGTTATCACCTGGCACAAAACATCTTGTTTGCCTACCATTCTTAACTAGCCTATTAGCTATATCAGATCTCTTTTTCTTAAGACTATTACACAGATTTGGCTTAAGACTAGAGAGAGACGGGTTCTCAGTTGACACTTGAGAAAAAGCTCAGAAGGAGCTTGGCCAGTAAAAGAATGAGGAGTTGTTCGATAAGCGAACAAAAAATTATCAATTCTATGCTGCAAACTGATATTTTGTTTTGAAAGAAATTTACTTTCAATAAGTGACCTTAACAAACTTTTCTTAAATGTCTGAACCGACCGTTCAATCATTCCATTTGATGACGGATGGTATGGTGGGCTATGGATCAATTTGATTCCATTCATTTCACAAAACTTTTCAAACTCTAAACTACTGAAAGGAGGACCATTATCTGATACAATTTTCTCTGGTAGACCATAGCTTGAGAACAATGTTCTCAGTTTACCTATCGTACAACTAGCATTTGTACTATCCATAATGAATATTTCAGTCCACTTTGAGAAACTATCAATGACAAGAAGAAAATTCTTATTGTCCTTCTTAGCAAAATCAATATGCAAACACTCCCACCTTCGGGTAGAAACAGACCAAGGGGTTAGCGGGACTTTAGGAGCCGCATTTTGAGATAATTGACAAACTTGACAATACTTAACAACATTAATAATATCATCTTCAAGGTTAGGCCACCATACATAACTACGTGCCAACATTTTCATCCTAAGTATGCCAGGGTGTTCTTCATGTAAGAGAGCCAACACCTCTTTCCTTAACTTATATGGAATAATCAATCTGTTACCCCACAAAATACAACCCTGATCAATAGACAACTCATCTCTACGTTTGAAAAAAGGTTCTAATTCCTTTTCAACAAACTTTGGCCAACCAACCAAAGTCAAATCCAAAACTTTTGAAAGCAAAACATATTTTTTTGTTTCGGCAGCAATGTCATATGCAGACAAAGGCTTACATCGAGTAGGAGATAAATAATTTACTTCACAACTAATAGGATCATCCGTATTAGGCAAGGGCGAGCGAGACAAAAAATCAGCATGACCTATGTCGGTACCCTTACAATACTCTACCTTATAATTATATGACGAGAGAAGCAATGCCCATCTCTGCATACGAACTGCTGCCATTGCGGGTATGTTTTTACTGGGGTGCAGTATGATCGACAAAGATTTGTTATCTGTTTGCAAAATAAAAGATCGTCCATACAAGTATTTATGATATTTCTTTAACCCAAACACAATTGCTAACGCTTCTCTTTCTATGTGCGCATAGTTTTGTTCATGTTTCGACAAAGTAAGAGATGCGAAATGTATCGGTTTCTCGCTACCATCTGATTCTCTGTTTGAGATTACTGCACCAACACCTACTGAACTTGCATCACAACAAAGCACAAGTTCCTTTTTTGGATCATAATGACATAAAACATTGTACTTTTTTAACCAAGTCTTACTGTCTTCGAAGGTATGCATTTGCTCTTCACCAAATATAAATTTAACATCTTTTTGCAATAGCCTATACAATGGTTCAAGCTTTGTTGACATATTCGGAATGAACTTATGATAATAGTTTAATAAACCTAAATAGGCTTTTAACTCTTTCACATTTTGAGGGGGCCTAGTTTCCTGCAAGGCTTCAATTTTACTTAACATGGGATGCAACCCTTGTTCATCTATCACATAACCTAAGTACTCTACCCTAGGTTCAAAAAACTTGCACTTCTTTTCATTTACATTGGGAAGATCAACCCCACAAGATAAATATCAGTTGTCTGTTTGTTACAAAACTATATTATGTGTCTAGAGCTGGCTGCCAGTGAGGGATGGGAGAATGCAGGTTGTACAGACAGTGTGGCAGGTTTGTCTCACACCTCGGCGCCCCACTGAGTTGTTACAGGGGTCTTGGGGAGATCAACCCCACAAGATAAATATCAGTTGTCTGTTTGTTACAAAACTCTGTTATGTGTCTAGAGCTGGCTGCCAGTGAGGGATGGGAGGATGCAGGTTGTACAGACAGTGTGGCAGGTTTGTCTCACACCTCGGCGCCCCACTGTGTTGTCACGGTGGTCTTGGGGAGATCAACTCCCCGGTATCGTCTGCAGGCTGACAACGCGGCAGCTCTGTGTTTGGTTCTCTCACAACTTACCGCCAGAGTAGAGGGGTAAGGCCTCTTTGTGTCTGTTGACAAACTGTATTCATCTATTTTATTAAGTTGAACACTGTTACAAAGGTTACATCATACATCAAAGAAGCAATTAGCCTACAAATGATGGTATAAAATCAAATAAAATGGCATTATTTATTTATAAAATAAACTACTCTTATCTCCTTTTTCATATTGATAGAAAAGTCACAAATAAACACGAAACACAGTTAAGTCAAATAGGCCTACTTTCAGTGGAATATATTATTATAGTACTAGGCAAGAGTCAATAAAATGCCTATTTTAATAACTTTAATACTGTAATGTATTAATTGATGCTTTCCAAATACATCGTAATACAGTACAGAACCTTTTGTCGACATTGAAGATACAAGCGACCATTTTGTTAAAAACAGGACGTTTATTTATAGCCTCTCACTGGAGGCTCGAGGCACAAAAACTATCTTGACCTTGGAGTTGTTAACCCCCTTTCCCTGCCTTCCTTACAAGTTGCGTTGTTTGTTTACTTCGGCGATAAGATAATCAGTTCTCAAAATCGTAACGCACTTTATGATGTTATAAATTTGCCGCACAGATAACAAATCAGATCAGATGTGCTCGAGCTACGAACGATGATGACAAACTGACAATAGGCTATGCTATATTTTTTGTGCTCAACACAAAATAGCTTATTGTTAGTCATATCCTGTGGAGATATGCGTATGGCTCAGTTCTCATCGCCCAGCGTGGGAGCGGAAATGCAGAGATTCCTAGAAAGCGGCGGTTAAACCGAGCTGCTCTCAAATCAAGGTCGGTTAAAACAAACTGTATTATTTTACGATCGGTTGGTGTCTACCAACCGGGAAATCCGCGAAAACCGGGAATTGTACTTAAATTTTTACTGGCCATGAAATGTACGGGAATTGTCCTTAAATGCCAGACAATGTCCTTAAATTTTTAATGGGCCATAATTTTATTGATCGCTAGTTGGTTAGGAGCACATAAAAGGTTTATCAGATGTTTGTTTACATTTTCATAATTTATTACTAGAGTAATTATGCAATAAAAATCCCATTAACAATCTCAAACCCATTAATATTTTATCACGACAATCAAGTGTCAAGTCAAGTACTTCCAAGAACTGTTGACTCAGCAGCTAGCTCATAAAAGTTGTATCACTTTTATTCCTTTACAACTTCTTTTTTTATTACTAGGGTAATTATTATTAGATCCCAAACCTATTTTATCGTGAAAATAATAGCTTTATAATGGCTGTTAGATTTCACTTCTTACTTGTACTTTCGGCTTGAAGATTCAATTTGCCGGCCAGTGCCTAGTGCCATAAAACTGTTTATGGTTTCATATTAAACATGTAAATAATCTACAGTCTTATTTTGTAAGTTAACCCCTTTTTTATAGACATTTTATCTTTCAATTGACAAAACCACAAGCATTGTTGTTTGCATTAATGTTTTATCACTATTTAGGCCTGCTTGGTTTCAAATTATGTCATTCCATTTTCTGTATCTTTGTCTTATATTGTTGGCTATTCAGGTTTCAATGTTTTTGTTTCCCATATATTTATTTATTGAGTTGTATGCTTTAGGCAATCAAAATCTTATGAACTAGAATGATGATAGTAACTTTGCTGCTATTATAACCTCATTGTTTGTTACTCAGTTTATATAGGCCCTCCTAAATAATTAGGTCTAGGCCTGGGTATTTTGATTCTTGAAAGAGCTGTAAAATATATTAAGAAAATGTAATTGAGCCTATAAGATAAACAACTAATGATTGCTATGTGTCGATATTAACTTTACAAATGAAAATACAATAATCTTACTCTGTGCTTATTGCTTATTTATAGCCGCTTACCATACCTTGATTTTGTACTAAGAATTGAGTAACAATATGCATTAAAGATTTTTTGTCAAAAGTAGTCGAGAACCTAACGTTGTGCCAGGGCGAATCATGCCAAATTAATCCGCCTGGATCGGATAAGCTATGTTATGAAGTTTACGTGACGGATGGAGATATTTGTCGCTATCGCAGGAGACAATGATTGATTTTGAAATGAATTGAATTGAAATGATTGCGTTTCGCTGTTACACTATAAAAGCTTTACCTAAAGTATAGGTAGGCCTATGTTTGTTTACTTTCAATAAATTTCTATTTTGTAATTTTTAACTCTTATCTATTATTATTTACTTTTCTCTCTGGTACAACTACAGTGAATAACAAGATTAATACAGTTTGACAAATCAGGAAAATTATTCGGTAGGCCTAATGACACCTAACGACAAAGGTTACGGCAAAGTGTCCTTAAATGTACGGGAATTGTCCATGAATTTTTTATCCAGAATGTAGTAGACACCCTGATTTCAGAGTTAAATTTGGAGATAGCATTACAAAATTGTACCCAATTCAAGCTGGCGTTCCCCAAGGAAGTGTTCTTGGACCTGTACTATATACGCTGTTTACAGCCGATTTACCTGAAAATGTGAATACTTCTGTGCCACTTTTTCTGACGATACTGCTATTTTAGCGTCCCATCCTGATACAGTGGAAGCTTCACTTAATCTTCAAAATTCACTAGACGACTTAGAAGAATGGTTGCAAACATGGAAAATAAAAGTGAATGAGAGCAAATCTACTCATGTGACCTTCACTACCAGATTAGGTACTTGTCCTCCTGTAACCTTAAATAATGTTCAAATTCCTCAATCCCACGAGGTGAAATATCTCGGCATGACGATTGACAAAAGATTGACATGGAAAAACCACATCTGGAACAAAAGAATGCATCTAAATTTAAAATTTAAAAATCTTTCCTGGCTCCTAAATAGTAAATCAAAATTGACCATTGCAAACAAATTATTACTATACAAAGTAATCCTGAAGCCAATTTGGACTTATGGAATCCAACTGTGGCGAACATCCAGTATGTTGAACATAAACATCATCCAACGATTTCAGTCAAAAGTTTTAAGGTTCATTCTGCAAGCCCCGTGGTATGTTAATAACAATATCCTTCACAAGGACAGTAGAACGGTTGAAGAGGAAATAACCAAATTTAGTGCAAAATATCTTAAGAAACTTGAAAATCACCCTAATCACCTGGCTCTAAACCTCTTGGACAACAGTACCAGTATATACAGGCTAAAAAGGATTCATGTTTTGGATCTAAGCACACGTTTTGTTTGAACAATTTAATTTTCCCTTGTTTATTTACATATTTATTTTTTCATTGAAATATTTTTAAGTTAGCTCTGTCAATGGACAGAGATTAACTAACGTTTTATTAAAAGTTGTTATTGTATTTGCTAAATGTTCTAAAAACGAACAGATTGTAAATAAAATTGTGATAAAAAAAAAAAAAAAAAAAAAAAAAAAAAAAAAAAACTTAAGGGCTAAAGTTTGGAAGGAGGCGCTATCTGTTAGATCAAACTCATTTCCCTTTGTTTACAAATAACATATGGACGTAGTTTGAAATAGTTTTTAAGGTTAACCACAGACTGCAGGACTTAAAACTTCCAGAGTAAAGCCGGAATAGATATTTTCATTTAAACGTCTGTTAAATAAGTCTGGTTCATAAAATAGTTTCCTAGCAAAACTTGATAACACATTGTCCGTAATATTTGAATTAATTTAACTTGCTTCTTATTTTACTGAATTACCATGTAGTTTTGGTTACAGTTCGGTGTGATGAACAAGTGAATGTTTGAAAGTGATTATTCTTAGTGCAGTTACCTACCCGTTGCATTACCGTATCACGTAATTTACAATGTATATCAAAATTCCGTTGTAGTGTTTTCTGTTGTTTGGTTAACTTACGTATTTTTATCTCAATTTAAAACTAAGCCACCAGTAAGATGAAGAACTGTGAGTGGCTGGAGGGAACGCGGACGTTACCGCTTGCATCAACCTACCAATGGAACATTTGAAGGATACAGAGTGGCAGTACCATCCTGGTGATACATCATGGATACATCTCCTCAGACAAATGAACGTTAAATGTTTACATTGTGGTGGCTTACATTTTAAGCAAAGGAAAGACCGAAGCAGTTCAATTTTCACTCATTGTTACCATAAATGAAAGACTTGTTTACCTCATCTGCGGAATTCACTATACTTTCAGGAAGTTATTGGAAACTCCCAATCTGAAAACAGGGCTGCGAGGCTTAGATCTAAAATTCGTCAATTCAATTTTACCTTTGCCATGGTCAGCTGTGAAGCTCATTTAGATGAGAGGATCACACAGGGGATCTACAATTTAAAGATCCATGACACGTGTTATCTCCGAGTAAATAATCTAATACCTTTAGAAGGTCATCGTGAACCCGCACAGATGTATAGTTGAGTACGACGTTGGCACTGGAACCCAACAGCGCTTGAAACCCAATTCAAACAAAAATGCCAGGAAAAAATATGTGGGAATAAGGTCACATTGCCAACCTATTTGCCTAATCTTTTAAAATTATGGCAGAATTTTAGAGGATTTTTAGAAGGGACGAGAGGTCCGATGAGTACAGTGAGATTCATGTGCTTACTTATGCTACTTAAATAAATGTCGCAGCTATTTTTAAAGCTGAAACAGAGCACAGCCTGGCCAAATAAATCATAGGTCTTTTCCAAAAACTAATAATGTTAAATGCGAATCCGTTCTAGATCCGTCGTTAGATCCACTTGCTTACCCTCTTATGTTCCCAACCGGAGACTTTCGTTGGCGCCCCTAATTTAAACACGCCTAAAAACATAACATATAGGTAGTACAAATAACATAACATATAGGTAGTACAAATAATTTAACAATGCTATAGTACGTGTCGTACTGGTTAGTGAAAGAGAGAGATTTAATATAATAAATAGAAAAATTAAGCTGTTTGTCGGATTTATAAGGTATGTAACCTATTTATTATGTTGAATTCAACAGCTCAGGAGCTAGAATGGAAATGAATTTTAAGAGCGATTTAGCTTGCTACAAAAAGTTTAAAAACTCACTACAGTGTGTGGTTGACATCTATGTTCTCATAGAGGGCACCCACCTACAGTACATAAGAGATAGGATAGACAAAGCATTACGAGAGCGGATCTATATTTAAATATTGTATACAACTTTTACAATCTTTTCACAACATTATATTTTTCATATTTATATAATCATTCAGAAATTACTTTAGAGTGACTCTTAGATTAAGTCTTGCTGTTTATTTTTTTACTAGACAATAGACAATTAATCTTTATTTACACAGTCATTAAGAATAGTAGTAGCGTCAATTTAGCTCTCAATTTACTGGTTATTCTTTCAATTACAGCCTGCAGTTTTGCTCGGTTTCGAGCAACAGGTTATCTAGTATAAATAATAATGGTACAGACACTAGGTATAGTTATTAAAAAAGATCAAGTATGGCTTTTAGTAGAGGGAGATCAGCAATACTTATAGAATGTACAGTCTAACCTTGATATAACGAACCTCAATATAACGAATTCTTGATATAACGAATTTTTTTTAATCCCCTAGAACTCTCCATAAGAGACTATGTATATTTTACCTCTACATAACGAACAAACCATAACAACGACCTTGATTTAACGAGTTTTTCGTGATTTCGGCTACCGTCCTATCACGGAGCAGTCAGTAGCTTACAAAACTTTCTACTGTTTTGTTTTGTTTTTTACATGGTTTATGACTACGCAATGTAGTGTTTGGCTAGGTTTTAGGAGGGTTAGAACAAGCTGTGATTTTAAACTTACAGTTTTTAACCTGTACCAAGGTCAATGCCATTGTCATGATTGCGCAATATTCGAGATCCCTCACCTTTATTATGCCGGATAATTTAGGTTCTACCATTGACTATTGGATACAGAAGGTTCTACTGTACAATGAACACTGTACTGTAAAGTATTGTAGCCGATGCTGGCGATGCTACTTTAATTGTGTTTTAATGAGGTCAAATCCCGGCCTATATTGACCGACGCTGGTTATGAACCTCGACTTAGCGAAATTCCTGCAAACCTAACCTCTATATAACGAACCTCATTTTAACGAAATCCTTGATATAACGAATATTCAGTTCGGTCCCTTCAGATTCGTTATACTGAGGTTGGACTGAATTTTAATCTACACTATTACAGACACAAACGTTGTATTTTATTGTGGCTTAGCTTTAGCTGTGAACGAACGTTTTTAAATTATGATGATGTCACATGGTGAGTGGTGGAAAGGCTCTCCTTTAATACTCTCTCAATGGATTATTTGTAAGGAATCGTTGGTGGACTAACGTTTCCTGTGTAAGTCCGGTCAGCTGTGCCTCGCACACTACGTCACAATTTGGCTGATTGGAGGAGGGGGGGATGCGCGTGCACACACCTTCTTTTATACGCCTTGCAAGGGACCAAGATCTTTTAAAGAAACAAGAGCCGAAAACCTTCCAGTTCATTACTACCACCAGAAAAAAGGCTCGATCGATCAACGAATATTTAAAGACTGGTTCGATAACAAGTTCGTTCCCCAGGTTAGAGAGCACCTTAGGTAAAAAAATCTACCCGAAAAAGCTAAGCTTCTTCTGGATAATGCTCTGTCCCACCCTGGATAAAGTGTGTTAAAATTGGACGATGGAAATTTCTGTGTGAAGTTTTTGCCTCCAAACGTCACGGCCCTTGACCAACCCATGGATCAAGGTGTCATTGCTTTGATAAAGAAAAAATACAGGACGGCTTTGCTGAAGAAAAGGGTCAATGAAGAAGATGACTTAAAGACGTTCTTCAAAGACTACACGGTTCTCGACAGCATTTATGACATTAACAATGCTTGGAAATCTGTCAAGCTGTCTATTCTTTATGAAATCCTGGCAGAAAATTTTGCCGGATGTAGAGACTATTCAAGAGGAAGACAAAAACGACATTCCACTCAGTATCCTAGCTAATTTAGCTAAATCTGTTGCCGTAAATGAGGAAAATATCGTTGAGTGGATTGAATGTGGTGCCAGTAATCTGGACTTTGAGTACCTTACAGATGAAAGCATCATAAATCAAAATCAAGTACAAGGGATTGAATCGGTTGAACCGGAAGACAATGAGGATAATGAGGAAATGCAGAGGACCATTACTCATGATGCAGCATTAGGACACATTGATCAGATTCTTCAATACCTTGAAGAGCAAGACGAAGCATCACTTTGTGACAAGATGGTGTTGTTGAGAAAACTCAAATCACAAATAAAGAAAAAGAGTTTTGCTACGAAAAAGCAAAAGAAAACGACTTTAACAGTAAATATTAATTTTCAATAACATGGATGACATTTATTATGTTTTGTTATCAGGTATGTCCTTTTATTGTAGAATAAACTTATTTAAAGAAATTGTGTGTTTTTTTTAGTGCCTTCGACCGTTGTTTAACCATTACCGGCAATTTTGCAGCTAATACGCGAAATTCGATTATCCGCAGTATTCACGCCAGTCAATCCCGCGGATAATCGGGAGTTTACTGTATCTCTAAAATTACTTTTTGTACATAAGGAATTAAATCTAAAATCTACTCTTCCACAATTACAGATATTACGCTGCAAGAAATAAAACTGTCTCGATCAGTTTTCCAGCAGGATCATTGCCGATAGCTCCGCTTATGGCAGCCATAGACAACCACGTGGAGCTGAGAAACAGCATAAAGACTTTACGGGTAAACATTTGACAGTTCCTGTATTACTTTCTTGTTGTTTCATTAGAACATTTTTCATTAGAAACTCTTATTTTGATTGCAAAAGTTTTGTTTGAAGCAGTGTTGCCGTTTTGCGCGTAATTACGCTTTTTGCGCGGATTTTGGGGGGCTGCGCGGATTTTTGTGCGGACTAGGCTTGTGAGCGGATTTTGCGTGGATTTTACCCAACTGTAAATTATTTTAAAATATATGGGAATTTCAACGGCAAATCGGGACACTTTGTACTTTGTGACTCAAGAGGAGCACTTCATGAGTATATGAACTAAGGATTATATTATAGTGCATTCAAGAATGATTGATGATGTTTTTTTGTGTACATTTATTGTTCTCTTCACTCCCTTTACTTCTACGTCTACGTCTCTAGGTTGTCACTTATAGAGATTTAATCGTTTTCTAGGGATATTTTACTTCCCGTTCTAGTGATTTTCCTCTACTAGACGTTGGTTTGTGGCAACACTGCTAACCTAACCAAACAGGCAAACAAAAAAAAAAAACAAAGTACCAACCAACAGAAACAAAACAAACCAACCAACTGTATAATATTTGATACTATTACAATTAATGTATTAGGTTAGTTTTGAAAAGAATAATTGACATACAATAATGCGCTTTCATTCTCAAAGGTAACATTGTCCATCAGGCTAAAGCTAGTTTGAAAACAAAAATTGATATTTTTATTTGTGGGTTTGTGTTCATTGTTTTCCAATTTCGTTTGTTTGTATAGTGTTCACAAATAAGAGAAACCCAACAACTCCTGTCTTAATTTATTGATACCTCTAACCCTAATTTTAATTGATTTCTAAAACTTTTAACTGCTATAGGTAAAGTTTGTTCAGAACAATAAGTTTAGTTTAATTGAATATGGTTTTGTGTTCATTGTTTTCCAATTTTGTTTGTTTGTATAGTGTTCACAAATAAGAGAAACCCTAAATTATGTAATTTTCAAATTTTCGTATAATGCAATAGCATTATATTTTTTCACTGAATATTTGTTTGTATCTGTCCAATCAATATTGAAAGCACACATACGGTAAGTGTAAACATTCTGTAACATATTTTGAGTGTTACATTTCGTTATAGGTGAAAAAATTAATGGAAAGATTGTTTTCTAGCAATAATTATTAGACTCAGGTTAATTTACAGAGTGCGCGGATTGTGCACGTATTTTTAACATATTGTGCGCGGATTAGACAGGAAAAAGCGGGATTTTTATGCTTGTGAGGACGGATTTCTTCCGGAGCTGTGTGGCAACACTGGTTTGAAGATGGGTTGCTATACAAAGCCCACTCTAAAGCATAAGTCCATAAAAAGCCGCTTCTCACCATCACAGTATATTATCTATCTATATATTAATAGGCAAGCATGTTTCTTTAAAACCTTTTTTCTCAGCTCGTGTGCATCGTAGGGAAAATCTACGCATACCGTTGGAAAGCTATTTTCCTGTAGGTGTGCAGAATCCCTTTATAAATTTAAATAGGCTCAAAGATAAGCACAAAAAATAAGTTTAAAAGTTGTAAAAAATTAACATGGATCTTATGCGTTGCTATGCTGGTTACGAAATAACAACGAAATATAAACAGAAAATCAAAACAAATGGAGGAAACTCCAATCACATGTTTTATTTACAGTGTGGGGTGAAAATAGTTAAGTGAGTACATTACATATTTTTGGTCGAGTTTCGACCACTGGACGACCTCTCGTATATATTTAATACAACATTTAACATCCACTTAAAATGAAGGAAGATGTATGTAATGTTTCTAAAATTCCAGATATTCTCCTATTTTTTTGTGAATTTCCCATAAAGGGAATAAGCTATTACCGCAGGTCTCATGGTAAGACCTAGATCCAGAACCGATTTACTTTTTTGTTTTGAGGTCCCCAGAGGCCAAAAACACCATTCGTTCCAATTCATATATTTATTTATTTATAAATATAGATATGTGTCCGTTAGCGCGATAACTCGAGGAAAAATTATCCGATTTTGATTAAATTTGGAACAAACGTGTAAACACTGCAAACCTACTTTTATTCAAACGAGTTCGCAAACCAGCATTGACTATGGGAACGGGGGTTATGGGTGGTTTTTTGGGGTAAAAAATGATTTTTCCCATTTTTGACCCTAAAAACACAATATTTTATAATTTCTCTCCAAACCGTTTTGTAGAGCTTAAAAAAAGAAATAATTTTGTACAGTGAAGTGTTGTTGTATGCCCAACGGTTACCGAGATAATTTAAAAAATTGTAAATTTAAAATTTCCATGTTATTCTTATGGACAATAAATAAACTGTTGTAGTTTGCTTGTTTATGGATATATTAAAACCAAACTTGGAAATTTTGTTTATTTAACACATTAGCTACCAACTATACTCATCCCTCAGTTACAGAGTAGTGTGACGGACGGTAGGGAACGTGTTAACACATTAGCTACCAACTATAGCCTACTCATCCCTCAGCTACTGAGTAGTGTGACAGATGGTAGGGAATGTGTTAACACATTAGCTACCAACTATACTCATCCCTAAGCTACAGAGTAGTGTGACGGACGGTAGGGAACGTGTTAACACATTAGCTACCAACTATAGCCTACTCATCCCTCAGCTACTGAGTAGTGTGACAGATGGTAGGGAACGTGTTAACACATTAGCTACCAACTATACTCATCCCTCAGCTACAGAGTAGTTTGACGGTCGGTAGGAGACGTGTTAGTACTAAGCTATCGACATTGCAATCGAAAAACACATATAAATATCTTCCCTGTAGCAGCAAACCAATCTACTCACTAAAATTAACGTTAATTAAATATTTAATAAATCTGACAATTTTTGGGAATATTTTAGTAGAAATCCAGCCAGGTAAATGAAAATTCACTTAGTCTGCAGGTTTGCTGTGGCGAGGGTATTTATATATATCTCACTTGTTTGAAAACAATATTACCTTTTAGCTAAATCTGTCATAGCACCTTAAATTTACATATCACTCACTAGTTTAACTAAAATGGCACTGACTGAGCCTCACGTAAATTATTAGGGTAATAGTATCTGTTTTTTGTCCTTGGGTTAATCAACTTTCCAAGTTATTTGACCTTCCCTGTGGATGATTGGGTACCATGATATTGCATGCTATTTTCGTGTGGCGTGACTGTGCACTTAAGCTGTTGTGTTATCTTGCGACCTTAGACTTAACTCAGGAAAATACTAGTTAGGCTTCAGGTAATTGAACTTGACTGGACACTCCCTTTGTTTATGCAGACTACTTGCCTTATTGCTTTAGGATTCAATGTACACATTACATAATAATATCCACATTTAAAAAGGGTTTGATGATTAAAATATGACCTTCAACATTTTGACTATGGTTGTCATTATTTTTCTGTGTTATTGGACCTTTTCGCTTCCTACCTCTTTGCAACTGGCACAGGTCGGATAGTCTATACTCTACAGTACCTACCTACATACAATTTCAGATCTGATAAAATGAATGTTATCTTATCATGTAGGCCTAAAATAAAACATTTCAAGCATAAATGAAACTTGACTCAAAATTTCAGGTTACTCTTGCTAACCAGACGACTCAATATCGAGCAATCGAGCGACGATTGTTGAGTAAACTACGAGAGAGAACTGTCCAGCCTCTCGTGGGGTTGGACAAGTTATTGTCTGACACCCATCACTTGATAGTGACTACATCTCATGCCATTGAGGACAATACACAGGTGAGTTTTCTCGTTCTTGTAAATGTTCCACTTAATAATGATAATTAATTATTTGTATCCTTATATTTTGCTTAGTTGTTAAGTTTCATCATTAATGTTAAGAAGAAAAGTACTTATATTGTAATACAGTAGCTGGGTATTCTTAATTGATACAAATAAATAATATACCAACGTAATGCAGGAAAATAAGTTTTATATATTCCTGATTCGTCATCTAATTTGTAAACTCATTAATAAGTAAACTCAGTAACAGAAAACGGATGAGAAGTTTTATTTTTTAAAGACCACTTAGTTATAAGTATAAATAATATTTTTATGTGTGAAAGATATTTCGAGCAATTTCAGCAATTCAATGGATAATATTTGGTAAGCCTAAATGTATAATTGGATAGTCATTAACATTAACCTAAGGTGAGTTCTATGTTAGCTGGTAAAAATGATAAACTTAGCCCAAGGGATTGGCACATTCGATTAAGACATCCAAATATTTGTTACATTCTAAAATTAAGAAAACTTGTAAAATTTGTTTGAAATCAAAGCAGAGATATAGCTTTTTTTAAGAACCTGGGATGGACAGGATTGAATTTTGCGTTTGGGACGGGGCGAGATTTATTTCTATGTGCAAAAAAGGTTTTTTTTTACTTTCTCCCCCTATACATAGTATATGGAGAAAGTATTGTTTTCGTCAGCATTTTTGAGGTTGAGTTATGAGTGGATATATCCGTTTTGGGTCCCCCTGAACCCAAAAAAGTGGTTTTCGAAGTGATGTCTGTGTGTGTGTGTGTGTGTCTGTATTCACCGAATAGTGGCATCCTTCACAGGCACACGGCCGTACTGTGGCACCCTAAAAAATTGTGGCACCTTTTTCAGGGTGCCACAGCTAATTCGATCATTTTTTGGGTTTTCCAGCATTATTACGTCGTTTAAACATCACATGCCACAATTGAGTATTTTTGAACTCGTTGATGTGAGTTTAAGTAGCGCAGGTACACGCCGAATTGTGGAACACGAAACCATACCGGTAGCTAGCGCGCCTCGCGCCGTCCGCTGGAACTATAACTTCCCTAATGCTATGTTGCCAATTCTCGCGCCAGCCTACACTCTAAATAGTGGCACTATGCCGCAATTCAGTATATATCAACAGTGTGTGTACAGGATGCCACTTAATGAGTTGTAGCGCTTGAGCAGTGTGTAGAACAGTGCAACAAGCAACTAATAATACTGTACTGCCACGTACTATAAAACAATTTAAGTACCATAAATAATATACTTTTGCTCCGAGTGGTGAACAATGTTTTACATTACAAACATTTTGTGTAGTAAATAATTATTAAAGGGGAGTCAGGTGACAAAAATCGAAAAAAATATCAATTTTTATTTTTTGTCATTTTCTTATTTGCTAATTTCTCACAAATATTTTGATATAAGAATTATAAAATTCTGAGAATTACTTTTCAAGTTATGACTTTTTTCAATTACATGCAGTGTAATTTTTCTCAGCTGTGACACCCACCGCTGCAGAGGATAACTCTTTTTATATAGTATACCTTTTCAATTTGTATTATTATTAATTTTGGTTTGGTTGGCAACAGGTAATGCCTTCTCTACTGTCTATAGTGTAACTAGGCAACCAGGTGATGTTTTTGTTATTGTTGTCTGTTGCTTTGTTTACATTTGAATTTGAGTTTAGTGCTGAGTTTGGTAACATTCTTGAAGTTTTGTCTGAAAATTTCTAAAAAATGCCGAAGTCAACTTTGAAAGTGTTCAAAAAACGGAAACGGGTATTTACTGGTCGTCATGTGAGTGTTAGGAGAAGTGAAAATTGTGGTGGTATTGTTTGTGGGGAGAACATTTCTAGCTTAGGCTTAGAATCAAATCCTATGCCTAGTTCGCTTGAGACACCTACGCCCAACACAGATAGTGAACCAACTATATCCAGGCCTAGTTCATCTAGCAGGAAGATTTCTACAAACTTTGATGAATATAGTATTTATGAAGATGTTGAGAACTTGAATGACTGTTATGACCTGATTAATATAAAACACATTCAGAGCCTGATCGCAAAAACTGCGGTTTGCAACAAGTGTCACGGGCCTCTTTCCATATACCCCACCAACAGGCTAGGCCTAAGTGTGAAACTGAATATAAAGTGCAATGAATGTGAATCTTATGTCTCTGAAAAAAACAGTAAAGTTGTTGGTAAAAAGTCGTCTGTGAATGTTTGTCTCGCCTATGCTTTCCGGTGCATCGGAAAAGGCGAAGACGCCGCCCGAAACTTTTGTGCCCTAATGAACTTGCCTAACCCTCCTGAATTCAAACACTATACAGACATTATTCTTCAGGCTACTAAGGAGGTTGCTTCTGAAAGCATGAGGAAAGCTGTAGAGCAATGTGTGGATGAGTGTGGAAGTAGAGACATCACTGCAATTTTTGACGGATCATGGCAGCGCCTCCGCTGCCATGATCCGTCAAAAATTGCAGTAGTATTTAAATTCCTATTCCCCAGTGCCCCTCGGCCACGTTTCCCAAAATGGAATTGTCAGTGCCATCAGTGAGGTCAATGGAAAGGTAATAGATGTAAGGATCCTTACCAAATATTGTAGGTGTTCTGGCAGACTAAACAATGAACATGACCCAACATGTGTTGCAAACTACTCAGGTGTTAGCGGTGGGATGGAGGCTAAGGGAATACTTGATATGTTTCAAAGCTCTGAGGCTACCTATCAGGTAAGATTCAAAAATTTTCTTGGCGATGGAGATAGCTCTGCATACCCTACAGTGGTAGAAGCTAAACCGTATGGCCCAGATTTCTCTATTGAGAAATTGGAATGTGTGGGCCATATTCAAAAACGAATGGGCTCACGCCTTCGAACTCTAAAACGTAAAATGGGAAAGGAAAAGTTAAGAGGACGGGAAAACTGTAGGAGGTCGTGGACGGCTCACACATGTAGCAATAAATGAGATCCAGAACTATTATGGACTGGCAATCAGAAGGAATGTGCATAGCTTAGATGCCATGAAAAATGCTGTGTGGGCCGAATATTTTCATCTTTCTTCGACCAATGAATCGCCCAAACACGAGCTTTGTCCCACTGGCCCCGAAAGTTGGTGTAAATTTCAACGTGCCAAATCTAATGATGAACCATATATGACCACAATCAACACAGTCATTATGCTCCAATTGTGATGAAGGAAATTGAGCCTATTTTCAAAGACCTGTCCAACCCTGAACTTCTGCACAGATGTTTACATGGGGGAACGCAGAATACGAGTGAATCGCTCAATAGTGTAATCTGGTCCCGACTTCCTAAATCCACATTTGTGATGAAAAAAACATTAGAATTAGGAGTTTACGATGCAATTTCCACATATAATGAAGGAAATATTTCCAGATGCCATATACTACAAAAGCTAGGTATTCCTCCAGGCTCAAACTGTGCTAAACGAATGAAACGAGTTGATGTGCTGCGTGTTAGGAAGGCCGACAAAGCAATTGAAGAAATTGAGAAAAAGTGTCGTCAAAAGAAGTCCTTGCTCAAAAAGAGACTTGAAGATCAGTATGAGATGGAAGAGGACCCAGACAACCCTTCATATGGAGCTGGGATGCACTAAAGTAAGAATTTTACTATTATAACCCTTATAGCCTATTTTCATTTTGCGGTTCCCGGAAGTTGTGTTTTTTTAGATATAAAATACCTTTTCTCAGGAACGGTTTGAGATATCATCATGATTTTTTTTTATCTTGATCACCATAAAAGACAGTATAATTTAAGCTAAGGAATTTACAGTAACTGTCCTAGTTCTCAAGCAAAATAATTTTAAAAGAAATATTTTTTGTAAAAATTATAAGAATTTTAAAAATATCCAAATAATAATTATTTTTTAAGTAATAAAAAAACCCTTAGCTTAAGTTGTTCTCCAGGAAAAAACTGACAAGTAAAAAAAAAATTGTAGGGATACCCCTCTTAGTTTCAGAGAAAAAGGATCTTAAAGTCAAGCAAATTAACATTGCGGAGATAGGGACACCTGGATCCCCATTGATTTTATGACACCATTAAAAAAATTATTTTTGTTTACAAACATAAATTGGTAACATAGTTATTTTGTATCAATTGAATTTTTACATTGAAACAATAACAATGTTTTAGGTTAGAACACTATATAAGTTGTCCTATGCTGCAATTTTTTATCTTACAAACTATTTCGTGCTAACATCTTTTTTATTAACATTCTAGTCATGTTGACAAAATATTTTACAATTACATTTCTGAATCACTCAGTAAAGGTAAATTTCGATGCAACATTGCTGAAAGTTATGTTTTGCTTCTCACTCTCAGAGTATTCCAAAGACATCTATTGTTTCAATCCATGTTCAAATGTTATATGAGGTAAACATATAACCGAATCAATTAAAGTACTTAAATTAAAATACATATTATTATCAACATGCATAAACTAGTTCAGATTATATATCATCTCACAATCATATTTGCAAAACCTACTGTACTGTGGTGTTTTAACCAGTCCCCACTAACAAAAGCATAAAATGAAAGGTCCTAAAGATGTTAACATTGAGTCATAACAAGAGTAGTTTATTTATTTATTTATTTCTATACTGCAAACACCATTTTACATTTCACATTGCAATTATATACAGATGGCCAAAAAAGATGACGTAATAATACATGCGTTTGACCATTACAGCTATCTTATCTCCATTACAGTTTAAAAGTTGTAACCGTAATACTGTAAATAATTTGATATTGTTTGATATTATACAATCGTTTTACAATTTTGTCAATCTATCTGTTACTTTAAATACAAATGTATTTTTATTATTCAATGTTTTGTTTTGTAGAACCTTTAGTATTCTCAACTTTATTAATAACTAGCTGTGTGCCCGTTCTACGCACGGGGATCTTATAGTAGTCAGTTGAAACCTTATTATATAAAGAACAGCAGTTGGTTTGCATATTTTCAGACGTGCTGGCAAAACTATT